AAACTAAGAATAATTGCGTTATCTTTATATACGAGGCCTTGAAAGATGTTAAGAGGCAATTTAAATGCTTCCAATTGTGGATCTCAAAGCTAAAGCTTTCTGAATTATGGAAACATCTAAACGCTTGGATAACATGATTAACACCTTTAACTAATATAATAGTTAAAACAAAAGTGATTACACGGGGAACACACCGTTTAAACCAAATATAGATTTAGATGACAGGAATCCGTCATTAGAAGAACTATTGTGATAAATGAAGCTTTCTGCCGTGTTTTATAAGCCAATGTTCCACCTTTTTGGAAGAAAACACCACAACTTGTATGCTGTGTCACCTCTCGGCCTTCATTGTCATATCCCTCTTTCTCTTTTACCCCAATCAACTCTAGTTTATTCAATTTCAGTCACCGTGCAGTTCCGAACAAACCCATCTAACGTTAATGGCTTGAGAGAAGCAAATGACACTGAACAGCTATTTCATTTTTAATTGTATTGTGACATTGAATTAGATCAGGGGGGTCGGGGGGGTTGGGGGGTTTCAACCTTGACTTTATGCACTTTGTATTTCTGTTTTCCATCTTACTTTTCCATCTCCCCACCTTCCTTTCACACATATTTCCTCTTTTTCACAACTCCATCCTTCCTCTCACCAACACCTGTCTTATTTCATATCGTCTCTCCTCTCCTGCGTCCCCCGTGCTGTCTCCTCTTTGCCTCCCCTCACCTCTTCCCTTTGCTTTTGCTCTGTCTTCTTCAAGCTTCCTCTACCCTTTCCCTTCATCCTAACCTCCTCCATCACGAGGATCCACTCTCACCTCCCTTTCGTCCCCCTGCCTTCTTATTTATCATTTGACAATCAATCCTGTCTCCCACTTCTCCCCCCTGAGGCTCCCACCTCCACCTCCTCTCAGTGCCTCCCTTCTCCTCCTCCTCCTCCTCATCCTCGTCTGCCCGGCATGACGTGGGACCAGATCAAGGAACTGTGTTGCCGGGAGTAACAGGGATTGAGAGCGACGCGTTGGAATGCAACTCCAGCAGAGCCCCCGAGAGCAGCAGCAGGAGGAGGAGGAGGAGGAGGAGGAGGAAGAGGAGGAGAGCAAGAGCAAGTATTTCTTTAGCCCCGTGAAGTGTTTCTCCCAAATTCTCTCCTTTTCTTGTCCCATTCACCTCACTGTTGTCCTCGTCATTTCTTGTGTTGCCGTGTGTCTCTGTCTCGTCTGTAGACACATGGTAGCTACGTCCCTTTTGTTTTCCCCTCCTATTTCTCTGAAAAAGAGAGCCGGTGAGTGTTTTTCTCCATTTTTGGGGGGGAGGCTCAACCTCCTTTATCTCCTTACTGACCAGTCTCCTCATCGTTTACCTGACACGTACTTCCCTTTGTTTTTCCCTCTTTTCTTCACTATCTCCACTTCCTTGTCTGTTTTTGGGGGGCTTGTGTGTGTCGGCCATCAGTCCGGCCGTGCAGCCAGCCGTCTGTTTGTCTGCCTCGCAGTGTAAATGCCAGTGAGAGAGAGACAGAGAGAGAGAGAGAGGGCAAACACATGGAGATGCAGATGGACACACACACACACACACACAGTCGCACATTATCTCGCTCCACTGTGCCACCGTACACACACACACACACACAAACACTCTCTACTTTATCAGCAGAATGAAAGTGCTTTCTGGCGGTATTTGAATGAGACAGAAAAGGGCCTTATTCAGCCCCTCTGCCAGGCTTTTATTAACACTGTGCGTCACTGAGGCGACATAAGCCCCCCCCCCCCCCCCCCCCCAAACCCTCTGTGTGTGCCCATCCCCCCAGACTCAAAGAAAAACGGGGGGAGGTCTCCTGTTTAAGTTTGGGGATCCCCCCTCCCACTCCCCTCCCCCCGTTTTCCCCGCCCTCGTTATAGATGGCCCCCCCCCCACCGCGGGGCGTGTGTACTCCCCCCCCCCCCTTCTCCTCTTCCTCTCCTTTTCCAACACACTTCCCTCCCTCCCCTCCCTCTCTTCATCTCTCTCTCTCTCTCTCTCTCTGTGTCCGTTTGCCTCTGCGGCTGAATGGAAATACGCACAGATGCGTAAACGGACGGTCAAACTCCTCACATCCACCGGCGGCAGCGGCAGCGGGACCGAACCCCCCTTGTCTTTGCGCACGAGGGCCGAGCAGGGGGACAAACCACTATCCTGGACAATTGTTGGCGCCTGACGCAGAAGCGACCAGGAGCGCAAAGCGGCAGCGCGGAGCCCACCTGTTTGCAGCCGGCGGTGGGACACGGAGGCGCGCTGTCCCGGCGCGGCCGCATGGAGGCTTAAGCTCCTTTATCTTTTTCTTCTGTTTCTTCTTCTTCTTCTGCTTCCCTCTTTCTTTTTCTTCTTCTTCTTTTTTTTCAGAAGCGGGGGTTTGCTCGTCTGTGGCGATCCAGAAATAGCAGCAGACAGTCTAGAGGTTGAGTGAGGGAGCGTCTGAAGAGCTTTATTTGCGGTAGTTGTGTTTTCAGAAAATGAATTTTCCTGTTTTGCGTTAATTTTGTGTGTGTGTGTGTGTGTGTGTGTGTGTGTGTGTGTGTGTGTGTGTGTGTGTGTGTGTGTGTGTGTGCGTTTCCAGCGTTGATGCCACTTAGTCTGCCGGAGTCGTGCTAATTAGCGCCTTGATTGACAGCTGGGTAATTGGATTTATTTCATATCCGCTCCTTGAAGTTGGGAAGCCTCTCAAGGCGCGACAGGATTGGTTTCTAAGGCTGTATTTCTGCAGAAAACAATAATGGCAGAGCTAATCTAGATTTGTGTTTTTCTTTTGGGGGGCGGATTATTGAATTCAGTCACTTGCCAAATACTCAAATCCTTTTCCAAGTAATTCCACGAGTTTAGGAGGCACAAGAATGCAGGGCAGGTTACGTATTTCAGGCAGAAACAAGAATCCCTTAACCTCCACTGAGGTCTTTTTATTGGACCACTTATCTCTTCTTAAAAACAAATATTTCATATTCAGGATTCAAGAATGTCCCAGAAATAACTCTCCGTATGTGCCAGAATAAATAGGCCGTTTACTGAAAAGAAAACCATTTTTTTATTTGATCAAAGGTGTGTAAACCATGTGGTTCCTTCTGAGAGGTCAACAGGTGCCACACAGCTCATTGGTGCAGAAGTTCTCTTCTTAATGGAGCAAATTGTTTTTTATGGGAAGTTTCTTCTTTATTTTACATATTAAATCCTAACGGTTTGATTTACAATGAAACAAAAAACAAGCATGTTGTAGCCTACTTGTTGGAACCAACGGCTGCGCTTATCCTTGATTAAAAATGAAAACACAAGGCAAAACTGTATTTTATTTTTTTATTTTTTAAATACACATCATAAGAGGAGTGGATCTGGAGCGTTTTAAAACAAAATAAAATTGATCTAGAGTTAACTTCCAATACTCCCAAACATATTAATTCTTGGACAGTCTTAGTAAGAATATGTTATGTGGCCGTTTTGTTAGAACAGTACAAACAACGTGGGTTATTAGAAGAGCTGAGTTGTGGGGCAGTAATGCACGTGTTGAGGAGATGAACATAGAGTATAATAAGAAAAATAATGGTCCTGTTCTCTAACCCGATATGACCGCAGTGTTTTAAATGAAAAAAGATGCAAATTCTAAATAAAAAATAATATTTTACACTATAGACACGGGTGGTTCAGTCTGATGCTCACCAGCCGAAAGCTTCACAGTTAGAAATCCAGGTGCCTGGAGACGCTGAGGGGATAAACAGCGGATGTCACCTGTTATCACGCCACAACACTGGATGGCATCACTCATCCTTTGAAGAGGCTTCACGTGTTCTCCCTCACACACTATCTGTCTTATGGGTTCTTTGACCAGTCTTTGGCCTAGTATGATGCAGTATTCCCACTGGTATACAGGGCCTGGTGTTATCGTCTATCCGCTCCCTCTGTGTCGATGTCCTTCGCCTGCTGCCATTTTTCTGTTTTGCAGCCCCCAGAGGTATTTGAATGTCTTTCCATCTATTAACCATCTATTAATTAAGTGTCTGTGTGTGTGTGTGTGTGTGTGTGTGTGTGTGTGTGTGTGTGTGTCTCCTTGATCTCAAAATCCAGTCTTCCCAATGCCCAGTGCGCTGTATGGCTTTTTATTCCTATCTGACTGTACTGATGGTTCATATAGGGATGGAAGCCATGCACCGCGCTGGTAGCACATCACACTCGACTGTGGACTGAAACCCACAAACCATGTCCCTCTCGCATAAACACACTTAACTATATGTACAAGCACACCCTCAAGAGCCTACATGCTCAAGTGAGGCATTAAATGCATGCACACATCCAGGAGACCATGAAGCGATGACCTGTCACACAGAAATATGGAGGCACACGCACTATAAACTTGTATTCATGTATGCGTATATGCACTATGCATGGGTTTTGTGCATGCTTTATGCACACACACACAGAAGGACAGAAATGGTCCCCTGGTTCCATCAAGCCATATACTACAGCTAGTCAGTCTGAAGCTGTCTGACTGTATCAGCTGACAGACGGCTCTCTGAAGTGAAACCCACACATCTGCTACAGAATCACACCGTGATCGATACGGATCACAACAGAGCAGAATGAAAATCAAATTGAACTGAAATTGACCAAATTGATTCGCACTCAGGAGGCAGAGCTCGTAGTATTCATTCAGTCATGGTACTTTATCCACTTAAGGTTATTCAAGTTTGCCTGAGATGTCGAGGCACACACTAGGTGAGCCGCTTTGAAACTCACAGGAAATGGCTGACATACAGAAAAGATTTTTTTTCACAATATTGTAATTTATTGAGCCAGTGAATGAGGTCGTCCTGACAAAATTGTCCTGAAAACTGTACAAATGAAAGGAATCAGGAATCAGGAAACATTTATTAGCCAAAATATGTCAAACATACAAGGAATTTGTCTTGGCGGTAAGTGCGCGACAGTAGACAGACAAGACAACAGTGCACAGGTAATAAAATAAAGTGGAATGAAATGCTAATGCAATGGGTTAGTAAGAATAAGGCTAAGGCTATGGGTTAGTAGAAAATGAATATATTTGTGTTAATGATGTGAAAAATATTACAAAACAAAGTATTCCAAACCTTGTCACAGGACACATTATCCATAGAAAACATGGAAGTATGTGAAAATACACATTGACTTTAAAAAAGAATAGAAATAGTCACATCTGCCTCTACACACAAAAGTAAATGTGTCTCCTTATTTTAGTTCTTCTAAAGTCTGCATGATTTGCATGAGACCGTTAACCATTTATTCACTGATGGTCTCATGTTTCTGTGCACACTGTAATATTCATAAACCATCATGCTAATAATAAAAGGGAACAAAAATCCATAATTTGTTTTATTGTTTATATGTTGGAAAAAATTAGATAATTTCTACTCTCAATCTGTGGTAAAACATTTAAGTGAAAGTGTCATTAATCACTGGTGTATAATAAGTCAGTATTGACTTGTTGGAGTGATCCTGCTGTGGAACTATGGTATCTTTCCTAAAGCCCCATGGATGTAGTGGCATGTCACTGCGAAACTGCCAAAGCTCAAGATGACACTTTAATATGTGTTAACATCTCTTCTGTCAGCCTGTGGATGGCACAACATCGCCCCCCAGTGTCCATAAGGTAAAATTCACCTAAAAGGTAAAATAACAGACACACAAACGCGTATTAAACTTTCCTTCAGTCAAGATAGCAGCACGGAAATGTGTCTTAAAAGCTGATATAAGCTTTTTATGGGAATACAAAGAGGAAGACGGAAAATTGGAAGACTTTGTTGCGGGTGCAACATTACCAGCGTAGAAGAAGAAGAAGAAGGAGCGGAAGTGACGTCAGGAATCCTGCCTCCACAACAATCGGAGCTTCAACCCTTGACTTATGAAAGGTGCAGATGGAAGTGTTAGATAAACCGGGGTTCCCTGCCCACACGCGCCACCATGTGAAGAGCTAAACGACTTCTGCCGAGACACACTTTTATTCAAAGAAAGGGATTATTATTTTTTAGTGGGACAAGTTTGACAAAGGACAGAGGGACGGCATGGCGAAGCGCCGAGGGAGCGCAGAGACAGAGGTCGGTACAAAGAAACCGAAGCCGGTGCCGAAGGCAAAGAGCAGCGCAGCGAGAGCGAAGAATAAAGATGCAGGTACGAAAAGCCCGGGGTTCACTTCTCAGCCTCCCTGTTTGCTGCAGAGCATGTGAGAAGCATCCAGCAACAAAAAGAAAACTACAGCCAATCCCAGAAGCCCATTTTCCTCCTAACTGTTTGTGTTTATCGGCGTGAAAACGACTCAGATTGTAAAGTAAGAGGGTCGTTTTTTGCACTACCGGGTACAGTACGTATATTTGAGAAGCTTGTATCCTGCTAAGTACAGAACAGATTGATTGATTGATTGTAGCTGTCTGTCATTGCAGACTGCAGAAACCCTGCATCAAGTCACAACAGATGTAACATGTGACTGTATCAGATCAGACTTTCACATTGTTATCTTAAGTAGCATATAGTATATATGTTGGACTGTAAAGTATGTTTAATTCAATAAATAACAAAATATGATTAAAAAAATATGCTTGTCTTTTTTGCTGTGAAAGGTGTCTTCAAAGGGGTTTCCCTATTGTTAGTTCGATTAATTGCTACGTTTGGCTGATTGGTTATATTTGCCACCAAACAAATACACTTTTCAAGCCAGCACAGTGCAGGTGCACGTGCGGGGACATGGATGGTTACTTCAGGGGGTCAACTGAGATGCACATCTGGGTTCCACTTCATCGAAACATGAAGCCTTTATATGTGAGTGTGGAACGAAGGGACCATTTGGTTCATACACATTATTACCTGAAATGTATTCATTTGTCAAGACGCCATATGAAACAATACAAAGTACTCAGAAGAACACAGAAATATAAAGTAAGTATGTGTGTAAATCATGTGCCATAAATGAATATGGATAGCTCTTTTTTTTGATCAGCCCTAAGAAAATGCATCATTCTCAGTGACCTCATGTTATATTTGCGTATTTTTATCCAGCCTTTTAGGCATTCCTGTATAGGAAACCAACACAGTAGGTCCAGCAGCAGCAACGTGCTCTTGAATGATTCCTCCTGTGTTTTTTGAACAGACGCATCAATGATGCACGGTTGTGTTTTCTATCTATTTCAAAAGTAGACTTTGGTGATTGGAACTTGTTTTTGTTGCCTTGTTATGTCTTTTATGTTTTATTATTATTCCGACCACCCCCAACATTGTGCTGTTTGATTTCTGCTGAAACGTGTTTATTCATATTTAGCTGTTCTAATCTAATCTAATCTAATCTAATCTATTAATAATCTAATAATTCAAACAGATTTCCTTTTAAATGTCCCCACTTACAATCTAAAATGCAGTACAGCATAAATAGTCTCATACAGGGTAATTAAATTAACCAAATATAAAAGCTTTACATCACAAACATTGAAACTATCGTAGGGAATGAAAGTGAGGCATAGAAGTGAAAACTAGACTATCTGCCTCGTTATTCAACCTCTGAGGCACAAAAGTAATTAGTTCTTTCTGTCCTTTCCAGGTAAAGTCATCTCAGAGGACGAGGAGACACTCAAGAGGAAGGTCAAACCCAAACCACGGGCCTCCACCAAGCGAGTGTCGGGGAAAACCTCTTCCACAACCGCAGCGGCTGTCAAAACCAGTAAATACTTCCCGTCGCCGCTGAAGGGGGAGCAGGCTGACATCGAGGAGGACGCGGTGACCTCGGCAGCCACCGCGGTCCGAGGGAACATCAAAGAAACCAAGAGAGAAGAAAAAGAGCAGCAGGAGGAGGAGAGTGAGGAAGACGACGGTGATGATTGGGAGGAAGTGGAAGGTAAGTGAGAGACGGCGGCTACACAGCTCGTTGTCCCTGATGATACATTCCCAACTTTTTGGGGGGTGAGAGTTGTCCAGTATTGTTTTCAGAGATATATTAAAGCATGTTGGGAGGAAAGTAGGTAACTGAACAGTGACAAGCAAATCGATTGTGTCTGTGTTGACTAGAGCTCTCTGGGCCGCTGGGTCCAGTGGAAACACCCGAACCCGTCCTGCCGTCCCAGCCGGTTCAGATAGAGATCGAGACTCCAGAAGTCCGAAAAAAGTAAGCAGACATTTGTGTAGTAGTGAAAAAAACGTAATATACTCTTTTTCTTTTTAAATTGTTATCATTTTAGTATTCTGTTTTTTTTAGTTAAATCAATCTCATCTTAAATGCAGTTCCATGTAGCGTCACTAAACATCTTTAGTCTTGATAAAAAATAAACATTCTTCAGGCACTCTTCTAACCTTAAATGTCAGCCCTTTATTCTTGTGCCTAAAAAACCTTTTCTGTTCTATGGCCGGTTTTATAGAGGAAGCCATTGCAAACGTTTGTGTTACAATCACTCTTCTATGCAGTTCAACAGCCAACGGGTGCATGTTTGTCTTCATTTACTATGTATTTGTGTGTGAGTATAGAAGAGTCTGTGTGTTTTACTCTAATCATCATTTCCCGTTGGCCAGGAAAAAGAGGCAGGCGGAGTTTGAGACTTATATGAGACGGATGGTGAACCGACTCAAGAAGGACGTGCTGGTAGACACACACAAGGTGAAGACCCCCACGTGTTCTCCTTATCGCCGTTTCCACATTCTGCCCGATTCAAAGTCACCACAGTGGGCTTTTGGGACATTGTAAACCTCCGATTGGTCTCTCAGGTCCACCTGCTGTGCCTGATAGCCAACGGGATGTTCCGCGGCCGTCTGTGCAGTGAACCCGACTTGCTGGCCATCACTCTGTCGCTGCTGCCCGCCCACTTCAGCATGGTCGCCAAGGAACGCGTCGACCAAAACTACCTCTCTGGCCTGCTCAAATGGTGCGTGGCCTGCGCCGTGGAGCCTGAGATCGGCGTCAACGTCACCATGTCGGTCGCTGTTACTTCGGTGTCTCTCATTCTATTTTCTTCTCTCTCTCTCCTCCCTTTCAGGTTTACGTCAACGTTCACCCTGAACGCCAGTCTGTCCTGTGAGGAGAGTCTGAACCCCCGCGCGCTGCTGGAGCGGCGGCTCGCCAGCCTCTCTGCCAGAAACCACCAGGAGATGACTCATGTTGGTGTTTTGCGACAGGATTAGTCCGATTAAGTCACATTCTGCCTTTCCGGGGTGTAATAAACTGTGATTATTCTCGCGTGTGTGCTTTGTGTTTCCTGCAGCTGTTCCTGTTGGTCCTGAGGTCTCTGCGGCTCTTCTGCCGACTGGTTATTTCTTTGCAGCCGATTCCTCTCAAAACCCCATCAGCCAAGGTGCGTCAATACCGACAGAAGCCCCACTTGGTCTTAAATGTAGAGAGAAATACGTCCTCAGCCTTTATTCTCAAGTTATCAGTATGATGGCCAAGACAAAACGTTGACTGGTGTTGAAAACAAAAAATTTTGAAATCTGGACCCTTAAAGACGAGCACATTCAGCATTAGTTATCTATGAAACTAGCCCTATGATTGCTAGTGCTCATTTAAACCGGTTAACCCATGAGAGACAAGTGCATCAATGAATATGATATTACATTTCTATCAAGATGTGTTGTGTACATCCTGTTGGAACCGCCTCGCTTTAGGTTGTTATGGTAGAAATACTTCCATACCTCTGCATAGGTCTGTTCATTTGAGACAGTTTACACAATATAAGCAGGTATTTAGTTTTTCGATTATTCAGCTCCGATACACTTGATCTAAATATCTTTGTCCTTCCTATAGGGCAAAGGTGCTGGGACATCTACCAGCGCTCCGGGAAAGAGCAAGACAAGCCAGCAAACCTCCAAGACCATCTCCCCCGAGCAGAAGGTCTCTCCTGGCACCAAGAGACCGGCTGGAGGGGGGGCGGTCAGAGGAGGCCACGGGGGAAAGAAAGCTAAGACAGAAGAAATAAAGGAGGAGTACGACGAGATAAAGGAAAAGACTAAAGCATCTGGAGGGCAGAGGCCAAAGAACTCCAAACGTCGCAGCGTCGCCTCTAAAGTCAGCTACAAGGAAGACAGTGAGAGCGAAGGGGAGGAGGAGGAGGAGGAGGAGGAGGAGGGGCTCAGCGAAGACGACTTCCAGGCGACCAGCGAGGAAGACAGTGAGGAGTCAGAGAGAGGGGCTGAATCCGCAAAGTCGAAGAAAGAGAAAGGAAAGGGAAAAGCCAACGTGACCAAACGCAACAACAGCGCGGCTCCGAAGAGAAGAAGCGGCGGAGGGAAAAAACAGATGAAAGACGAGGGGGGAGAAGAGGAGGACGCGGACGAAGAAGAGGGAGCCGCGGGCAACGGAACAAAGCGGAGGAGTGGCAGAAAGAACGACGGGCCCAGGGCGGACGAGTGGCTGGAGGTGTACCTGGTGAAGACGTCTTCCTGGGTCTGCGTGGACACGGAGCGCGGCGTCGGGATGCCTCACCTCTGCTCCCAGAATGCAACGGCGCCCATTACGTACGTGGTGTCGGTGGACGGAGACGGCTTTGTGAAGGACTTGGGGAGGAAGTACGACCCCACCTGGCTGACATCTTCCAGGAAGAGGCGCGTGGACGAAGAGTGGTGGGAGGAGACGCTGCAGCCGTTCCTCGGACCCGAGGACGAGAGGGACATGAAGGAGGAAAAGGAGGTGAGACCGAGAGACATGTAGACTTTCGGGCCGAACGGTTTACTTTACACACAAGCAACCGCCGCCTCATTCTCCTCAGCGCTGGTTCAACGCTCCCCGCACACGTCTTTTCTTTCCGCAGCTCCAGAACAAACTGCTGAACAAACCCCTGCCCGTCTCGATAGCGGAGTATAAGAACCACCCGCTGTACGCCTTGAAGAGGCACCTGCTGAAATATGAAGCCCTCTACCCATCAACTGCCACTTCACTGGGCTACTGCAGGGGGGAGCCGGTGTACTCCAGGTCAGCTTTGTTTATACTTATTTAGAGATAGAACTTAAATCGACTGTGTGAGCGTTGGTTATCACATTGTCTTTCTCTTTAGGGATTGTGTGCACACGCTCCACTCCAAAGACACTTGGTTGAAAGAGGCACGGACTGTCAGACTAGGAGAGGAACCGTATAAGGTGAGGGGGAATTAGTTCCTCAATCGTGTTTTGATTGAGAAAATAGAGTGAATACAGTGTGCTCGCTGTATGACTGAGCTGAGAAGATGAGGAGACGATGTGTATAAGAGCGCTGGTGTCTCTCTCTCTCTCTCTCAGATGGTGAGGGGCTTCTCTAATCGGTCCCGCAAAGCCAGGATGGCGTCTGAGCAGAAGGAGGAGAATGACCTGTCTCTGTTTGGAGAGTGGCAGACTGAGGAGTACCAGCCGCCTTTAGCTGTGGGCGGGAAGGTAACCGCCTAGAGAGATTATTATAATAATAATAATAATAATAATAATAATATAAATCATAAATTCAATACACGCAGAGGAGGTGAAATGTGTGCATTATGTGCATGTTTACCCATTTTTTCTGTGACTGTCTGTCCAGGTTCCCCGTAACGAGTACGGCAACGTCTACCTGTTTAAGCCCTGCATGATACCGGTGGGCTGTGTTCACCTCAAGCTGCCCAACCTGCACCGCGTGGCCCGGAAGCTGAACATGGACGCAGCCCCCGCCGTCACAGGCTTTGACTTCCACGGAGGATACTCGCACGCTGTGTAAGACCAGATCAGTGCAGCTACTCCAGCGGGTTTTCAGCTGCGTTGTATCTGATTTTCTTCTGTTTTCTTTAGTGTTAGTCATTCCAACAGTTGCTTTTGTCACGTGGAGGATGGCAGGAACATACAAAATAACACATTACATACATCATTGTTTCATGTTTCATCTTTATCATTGACAAAATGTGTGTGTGTGTGTGTGTGTGTGTGTGTGTGTGTGTGTGTGTGTGTGTGTGTGTGTGTGTGACATGAAATGTACTCTCACACACTTGCTTGGATCAGTTGTTGCATTGTTCTCAATTAGATGTGACAGTTTGATGCAGAAATTGTATTAAAAAAACACTGCTGTTACTGTCACTATTGTAAACATTTGCATGATTGAATATTAATTATAATCACTCAAACAATCGTGAAAAAAGACAAATAAGCAGGTTTTATAAAAACATGAAAAATGAGTCTTATGCACAATGTGTGGTTTAATGTGTGTGTTTCAGGAATGACGGTTACATTGTGTGTGAGGAGCATGAGGAGATTCTCAGAGCGGCCTGGGTGGAAGATCAAGAGATTCAGAAACAGAAGGAGAAAGAGGTGTGTGTGTGTGTGTGTGTGTGTGTGTGTGTGTGTGTGTGTGTGTGTGTGTGTGTGTGTGTCACTGATTAGAAGTATTTCCTTTTTAAACTAATTTAAATAAGAACCAGCATACTTTCAAGCAAAAAAATGTTATTTAAAATATCCTCCCTTCCATTTTGCAGAAAAAAGAGAAGAGGGTGATCTCCAACTGGACTGTGTTGGTCAAGGGGCTCCTGATCAGAGAAAGACTTAAACAGCGCTACGGAAAGAAGAACCAGGGACTGGGGAACCTCCAGGAGACGTGCGGGCTTTCGTCAGATGAAGAGGTGCCTGAGGCTGCAAGTCCTTCAGCCAAGACGGCGTCTGAGACTCTGGCCATGTCCTGGCCTCAGAACAGACAGGCGGAGGAGGAGGAAGACGGAGGGAGCATCAGCGGACTGAAGAGGAAGACGAAGACGACAAAACGAGAAAAGAAGGGACAGGAGAAGCACATGTTCCCCTTTGAGAAAGTGTGATGTCAGGGAGCCCAGAACACATTTAAGTTGAGTTAAGTCAAGCATATAGAACCTCAGGTGTAACACATTTTTAAACCAACTTTTTTAACATTTGTCATCTTTGGAACTTATGGCTTTGATATTTAAGGACAGGAAAGAGGGGAGGACAAAGGAGAGGAATGTTTTGTGGTGATCTGCAGATTTGGGTTCTGGTTGGAGTCTGTTGTCATGGTTTCCCATCGCATGCACAGCTTACGGCAACTTGAATAGTGGCTTGTGTGGCAGGTGAACACAAACAACCCTGTGAAACCTGCAACACAATAAGAAATACAGACAAATGAACTATGATCAATAAACATTTCCTCCATAGCTTGTAGTAGATCCACTACCTACTAATGGATTATTTGTAAAATATACTGTATTTCTTTTTTTCTCTCTTTCCCTGTCGGGCTGCTACATCCATGGAGGATGTTTTTGTGCTGTATTTTGAATCAGCCCTCACATTCAGCCTCTTACTCATCGCTTTCACACTTTTGTCACTGTTTCACACCTTGTTTCTCTCTACGTGTTTTGTACAAAGCAGGTGATGCCTGTATTTCGCATAATAAACTTTTTGTATTAAAAGTATTTTTCTAAGATGTAATACCAGTTAAAAGCAATATAAACAAAATAAAGAAATGATTTTGTTGAATTTGTTTACTTTCGTTGCACTTGGGAATTCTGAAACAAAGTACTAACTTATGATGATGAAGTTGAGCATGAGAAAAAACACAATACACTGATTAAACAGATGATTGTCAGACTAAAATTATTTATATTGCCACATGAATTCTAATTGATTTCTGACCTTTTTTTTTCCAAGAATCCAAATCGCATTTCTAAGTTATATTTGGGTTATTGAAAACAGCTTGTGCATAAACATAAAACATCAGCTGAGATTCTGATGCATTTTCCTTTTCAACGATTCAAAACCAATTATCAAGGCATTAAATCCAGCAGCCCAACCTTCTGTTTCAGTCAGGCGCTACTGAAGATTAAAGCCAAGGGTGATGCTTTATTCATAAAGCCACCAATTGCATAACTTTAGAGCCAAAGTTACACAAGTTACTTTACAAATGAGGAAACAATGTAACAGTGTATGACGAAAGAACCATTAAATACGTTTGAGTAAATGCATAAATTCATCATCAATATGGGGAATGATGGTGTTGGCATATGGTTTGAATATCAAACATAATAATCCAGTCAATGAAAAGAAAAAAGCATGGATAAAAATATCAGATTTTTGTCATATAGATATGTGCACTCATACAATACACCGGAAAACAAGAATGTTTTATTAAGTTGTGAAAAGAGAACAGGGAAAGGGGCCGTTGACTAAAAATGAATCCAAGTTGTTACAAGCTTGTTAATGTTAAACGAACCCTGAAACTCCTGTAATAATAATATTGCCTGTTACTTCACGTCCCAGCAGAGAGGAGGTGGGCACGAGAACCGCGGAAGTGACGTCATTAATAAGTACCTCTTACTGTCGATCTTCCGCCGACCAGCCAAGCTGCGATTACGCCGCACAAAAAACATCCTTGCTTGTCAATGCGGAGAGAGCCGACGCTTCTACGAGAGGTAAACACCGCCGCCTTTAACTAGCAGGAATGAATGCAGTAGTTTTTAAATTAATCTATTTACTCTCGAGTTCCGGGGGGCCTTGTTTACATCTCAATCCCCGGGCTAGAGTGGGCGAGAGGCGGCGACGCAGCTACAGACAACGATAAGGGGGTGGCTAACGAGGCTAGCTCTTATGTCGTAACAAACAAAAAAAACAGTATCTCTAAAGCTTTTGCTAGTTTCCTTTGCATGTGGCCAACAATCCAACTCGTCTGACTCGTGCGTTGAATATGCCGTTTACTCCACGGCTGAGTTGAACGTAACGTTATGCTGCGAGTGCATTAGCTAGCAAGCTAATCCGGCTAACGGGACATTTGCCATCCGTTTTCTGTGTTTGACTCAACGCTAACCCCTTCCCCTCGTGTCTGCACCGACAACCGTACCAACATGCCCGTGTCAATTATCAACCAAGCCGGGGTTTTTTTTTAAACGTCGCTTAATCTCTTCCCCCATCCTCTTACTCCCCCATCCCCCAAGACGGGCTATCAAGCGCCGTACTGCTGAGTCGCCGTGAATCGTTAGCCTAGCTATGGATGTGTGTCACCCAGTTGGCCCGACTATTTTTAGCCTGAACCGGGCGGAATGCGTCCGTCGGTAGGCCGCCTGCCAGCTTTTCCCCGCTGACCTTGTTTTGTATTCAGTTGAATATTTTGCAAAGTCACATTTGGTGCCCGGTGCTTGTATCCGGTGCCTCTTGACCACAGTAGATAGCAACGTCGACACGAGCCGACGGTGCACTTGAGCTGTTGTATCGTCTCCAGAGTGGAGCTGTGAACTGTTACTTTGTATTACCTCGTATTATATGCGGAGAAGACATGTTTTGGGCAAGGAATTAAACCCAGGCTACTCATCCAGACACAATAGAAGGGGAGCACCATCCTGACGGTGTCCTGACTTTAAAGGCATTTGATTAGTCCATCGAAAGGATGAGTGATGTGAGGGTGGGCCATGGCAGCACCTGTCACCCAATCAGCCATAGTCATGTAAAATCCCATGTCCAGTTGCCATGGGGATGTTCAGCACTTTGGTAAATATCACCCAATCAGCGTTAGTCATTTAAATCCCAGGTCAGTACTCTGGTCATTTTTAACTGACTTATTTTAATATTTGGGAAGTCCTCATAGGAGAAGTCTGTGTATATTGTGCTCCAAAACACATGGTCAAAGTAATTGGACTCAATTTGAATACAAAGTACATGTAAATATGTATTTGGCTACCCCATTCCACAAGTTATATCAATCTTTTCTTGCATTTCTGCTTTTCTTTTTTGCACTTGCAGTTAACTTGTTTTTTAAATTTAAAGCTTTGCCTTCCACTTGCACGAGTTAAGTCTTATGAGATTCATCAAATCTAATGTGCATTTAGAAATAAATTCAGGAAATGTGAGCAACAGCTGATTTAAAATCATGTTAGTTAAGACAGAACTGATAGACAATACACGCATAGAATTCAAGATTACCATCCTAAGAGTAGTAATTCAAACTCTGTATGTACATTGAGAGCAGCTTCAATACGTTATCAAACTCTTCAAACGCTCAAATGTTGTGACCAATAACGGAGATTCTAATGACGGTCTGTCATAAAGGGTCAACTGCCAAGTAGAAAAGGCAGGTGAAGAAAGGCACAGCCGAAAAGTTTAGCAACAACTGTTTGGTAACTCCCGAGCTTGTGTCGGTCTGCTGCAGAATACATTATGCAAAGAAATTAACTGGAGGAAGAGTCCTGTTTTGAAATGGTGCAAAAATTGCGACAGGTTCTTTTGCCGGGTCGATTTTCTTTTCCTCGACACCGCGTGTAATCTGTGGGCGAAACAGGAAAGAACCATTGTCCCCCTCCGCAGAGCGACCGGTGGCTTTCAAGCACCACCGGCGACCGTGTCGCTGTCAGTGATGTGATTTGAGGCAGTTTAGACCAAAAGTGGCGACCTGACGTGTCAGAAATAGCGGCCATTTCGATTACGTCCAAAATGAACTGCTGCTGATTAAATCGAGAAATTCACCGAAATCATGTGCTTGTAGGAAAACATTTGTATCCGCTCCAACGAGACATGTAGTTTGATGTATCATTTGACATGTTTTGATTATGAATTTTTGTTTAGGATCACGTTTGGATACACAAAAATGAGCAGGCATGCATGTTTCTTCCTCATCATTCCCCGGTTTTCCTCTGTTCCTCCACTTTTAATAATCCCTCTTCTCCTTTCCTTCCATTCAGCCATTTCTTCCTCCTCAGAACCCCACGCTGCGAGCTTTCCACATGAGTGACGGGGAGTGTAACTTCTTCTGCTTCTTCCGCTGCTGCTGAGCGCGCTCCGTGCGCGCCTCGGGCAGACGGGAAGGCAGCGACGTGAGCCGGTGTGCGAGGAGCTGCTTCACACGCCCCGCGTCAGCCAATCGCACCGCTTGGACGGGTAGGCGGGCCGTCCACCTGTCCGGGCAGGTTGAGTCGAGCGACCGGATGTCCGTGGACATGAACAGCCAGGCGTCGGACAGCAATGAGGAAGACTTTGGGGTGAACTCTGAAGATGAGGAGGACGACGACGATGACGACGGAGGAGAGGACGACGATCAGGGCGACATATCGACCTACTACGAGGGCGTGGCCAGCGACGTGGAGCAGCAGGGCGCCGACTCCTTCGACCCGGAGGAGTACTCGTTCACCTGTCTGACCTACAAAGAGAGTCAGAGGGTGCTGATAGAGGAGGTGAACACTGTGGCCGCCGCGCTGAAGGTGAGCGTGCGTGTCTGCAGCGGTTTCCCGGTCCTGAGAACAAAACCAGATGTTCTCATTGTAGCGTTTGCAGAAGCAGGATCTGAAATGAGAACACGTTGTGTCACAAATGTGTCTTTTAGAACCGGAAAGTTTCACATGGAACTTTATTTCAAACCTTGTTCTTAAATACTTATTTTGACCAAGTATGAAGCAGTTACATCAAACAGTAATAACAACCACACCAATATTCTTTACATTAAATGCCTGGTTACTCTAAACCGTGTTCCTACTGTCCTACTATGATTAGAGAAACTGTGTTTTAGTTGGGTGTTGTTGAGATGTTTGTGCTGCTTCTGTAACGAGAGGATTGCTGGACTTCTGTCCATAAAACTGTTTTTCAGTCCAAAGGGAAACTTCTGTTTACATTTGAAAAGCTTTTTTAAGCAAACATGGTTTTCATTTAGTTTTAAATGTCGTTGAGGCATTTTCTTATGGGCACCTAATCAAATAATTGTTTTAGTTCTTTCAGTTTTAAGATTCTTATAATTGTTTTTATTTCGTTGGGAAAATGCTTGTCCTTTAACCACAATATAAGTTTGATTAAGCGGTGCGTTGGTTATTGATGTTCATAGTTAGAATCCTGAAGGATTTCATTCCCATGAAGGACATGGGCTCAGCTTATTATCTATTACAGTGGAAAGACGACGCAGCCAAGTTGTGTGTCACTGAAGCAACATCTTACAGCGTTCTTTTCCTCTGTTGTTTCTCTCTCCCTCCCTCTCCCTCCCTCTCCCTATCTCAGGTTTTACCAGCGGTAGCGAAACTGATCCTGGTGCATTTGCACTGGCAGATTTCACAAATCCTGGACAGGTATGGGTCCCCGCCCCCCCCCCCTCCCCCCCACAACCCTCCGCTTTTTTGCTTTTTATATCTGACCTCTCTATTTTGTCCCTCTCATGTTTTTCTCTCTCTGCCTCTGATGGTTTGGGGTTTGATATTTCTCTGTCGTGATCCCCACAGATTTAAGTCCAACGCGTCTCTGCTGTTGTCAGACGCTCTGGTGCAGCCCAGCAGCACCTGCAGATCAGTCACAGTGAGTACCGGGCCGTGTGCAGTAAAGTATGGTAGTAGTCGTTACGCACGCAAACACGTGGCGGGGTGGAACTGCCATATGCAGCGAGGAGTGAACGAAAGACTTGGCCCCTCTTGTTCAATGTTAGGGGAAATATTAGATGGTTTCTTGCAGCCGCTGCTGAACATCAATTCACACAAAGCAACTCTAAGGACACATTGTCTTCTGGTTGCAAAGACGCAGCAGATAATCCAGAAGTAGCACAAAAATTAATAATTTTCAGTGAAGGCTACTGATAACTTGGGGTGGAAATAAAGCATCGTATGTAATTTAATACTCTTATCTATCAGTTTATAATATAAAATGGTAGCTTTATCTTTAGCTTCGATAGTTGCGGTACAATTCCTACACGCAAAGTTCAGATCATTCGGCCATCAGGTTTTATCAAACTGATTCTTGGGTGTTTTTCAGTATTTCAGGGCTTTGCATGTGGCTCCATAGCTTGTGTCTGACGTCATGTTTGTGATTTCTGTGTTTCAGGCCCCTCAGTCGCTCCAGTGTGGCGTGTGTCTGCAGGTCGTGCGGCGAGACACCCTGCTGGCTCTGCCCTGCCAGCACTCCTTCTGCAAAGCATGCTGGGAGCAGCACTGCACTGTCCTGGTCAAAGATGGCATCGGAGTGGGTGAGCTGTGTGTGTTTGTGTGTCTGACCTCTTCAAAGCTTGTATTTTGAAAGCATTGTTTTCTATGCGCTGTGGGCTTTTTGTCAGGCATCTTACATCATTGAAAAAAGAACTTTGGAAGAACTCTTGGCAGGGTAAAGATTTTCAGAAACGTCAAATATGTGTGAGCTCTGCTTTATATTGTTTTATGAGGGGAAGCACTAATCCAAACCAAAACGCTTGCTCACATCTCGTGTGTACGTGTTAGTACCCGGATGAGGTTTCCATTATTACAAATTAATGGACAACCTCTCAGTCAGAACCGTCCAATGCAGAGACTCCGAAGCCGCTACGTTTCCCCTTAGAGACTCCTGGAAGGGCTAAATCTCTCTCACACCACGGACTGATTCGTAAGGACAAAAAATTTACAATTGTAGTATTTTTCACAAGCAACTTAAACGGTCTTTCCGGTAACTCTGTAGGGTTTGATAAAACTTTTTTGATATGAATTTTTACCATCCCATGAGGCTCTTAAGCCATGAAAACGCTGTTTAATGCCCCAACAAATGGGACGGACATTAGATAGGACTTTGCAAAGGACTCATGCAACCCTTTGCCTCAGCTATGAGGTTCGCCAGATTTAAGATGGTATAATTGTTATATCATCTAAATGTTAAACAAGACTAGCTAGCCATGTCATGGCAAATCAATCTTTTCACAAACAAATGTGAGGTTATGTGTACGGTCCCCTGCGGCTCGAGGTAGCAAGTTACATAGAGAAGAAGATGCGAGAGCCAATAGCCTGTGTCAGGAAGTCCAAAGGGGCCGTGTCATTTTACCTCTTTCACCTCATGCACTGCACCGCGTGGTGTTCAGAGGACGGACTGATGGACTACACTCATTCAAATACCCATCAGGTGTCCATTGTCAGTCAGAACCAAGTATTCAGCCAGTCCACGGTGTAAGAAGTTTGGATCACTCTCATTGGTGTAAGCCTCATGATCATTTATGTGTGTGTGTCTGCACCCCCCCACCGCACAGAGAGCGCATCCGTGTCCGTCTCTCTGTCCCCTCACCACCCCTCCCCCTGTTGCAGTGCAATTGTAAGAAACCCAGAAAGAGCGGATGCAATCTCTGCTGGACAGTGTGTGTACATATTTGTAATAGATTTGTGTGTGTGTGTTCAGGTATCTCGTGTATGGCTCAGGAATGTTCCCTGCAGATGCCAGAAGACTTTGTCATGCCGTTGCTTCCAGGAGAGGAGCTGAAGGACAAATACAGACGCTACCTCTTCAGAGACTATGTCGAGGTGTGTGTGTGTGTGTGTGTGTGTGTGTGTGTGTGTGTGTGTGTGTGTGTTTGCTCAGATGCTGCAGCATTTACCGCAAATGAGACGTCCAGGGATCTGAGGGGGAGTGTGTGTTTTTTATGTGTTTAATCTCGGACTCCTGACACAGCGTTGACTCTGAATGATCTCTTGCGGTCTGTCTCACAAGCTGCTTTGTTGTCAAATTAGATTAGACACTCTATCTGGCCTGAATTTGAACATTGTCATGATGCATCTATTCATTTTGTTGATGTACTAAAGTTTCGCCTTTCTCTCTCTCTCGCCGTCTCGCAGAGTCACTTTCAATTGCAGTTATGTCCAGGGGCCGACTGTCCCATTGTCATCAAGGTGCAGGAGCCCCGGGCGCGCAGGGTGCAGTGTAGCCGCTGCAGTGAAGTCTTCTGGTAGGACGCACATGTACACACAAAAGGAGCATGTGGATTTCCTCTTTAAAAAAATGTTTTTAAACTATTTAAAAAAAATTTGTTGGTGAGATTTCTTTTCAGCCTGCCAGCTGTCTTAGTAACACTGTTGTATTAATTTCTCTCAATTCATTTTTTTTTTTTTTTTTTCAATACTAAAGCAGCTAAGTTTGCTGCTGATTTTCTCAAATTCCATGTGCATGAAAGCTCGACTGTCAAACGGGGGAAGCACTGAGGAATTTATAGATTCAATGGACACAAACGGATTGGTCATCCACATAAACTCCCATTCAAATAAACAGAATTTTTAAAACCCACAAAGGTCCCTAATTAGGCTTTGTAAAGGATCTGTGTGGTTTAACCATCACTGCTTATGATCCGTCCTGATACATTTTTCTGTTTCTCTGTCACAGTTTTAAATGCCGTCAGATGTACCACGCACCCACAGACTGCGCAACAATCCGGAAATGGCTGACGAAATGTGCCGATGACTCTGAGACCGCAAACTACATCAGCGCACACACTAAAGATGTATGATGATCTGTATACGCACGCGCACGCACACACACACACACACAAACAAACAACATTCTACTCATTCTCTGTAATACGGAGCTATAACTTGTTACTTACTCTAATTGGACACTATTTGGTTCTGTGTTTCTTCTTTAGTGTCCTAAGTGCAATATTTGCATTGAGAAGAACGGAGGGTGCAATCACATGGTGAGTTAAAGATGAAAATCAACTTTCTAAGAACGACAGCAATGACGAAAAAGCATTAAACATTATGATTTGTGGTAGTTTTAGTATTTTCTGGTTTACTAATTTGACTTTCTGTGTTTATTTTAGCAATGCTCCAAGTGCAAACACGGTAAGTAAGATGCCTAATAGTTTCACCCCTGCATTCTGATCTCTTGACCCATGACCTCCCAGTTTTGGGCTCTTCAGAGCCTCCTAGAGACATCACACAAAGAGAAGCCAGCAAACATAATTGCCAGACAAGATTGGCTAAACTTCCGAGAAATTCTTAGTGAAATATTATCCTAAAGGTGACTGCTGACATTCATAGTTCTATCATGGAGTGGACTACATATAGGCATATGTCTCAGCTCTGCCTCAGCTCTGTATGTAGCGGCTTTTCTAAGATAGAAAAAAACTAAAGGGCCCACATGCTGGCCCTTTAAAAGTCGAGCTAATCTTTCTAGGTTATGAACTGTCACGCCGTCTAATGCATGTCTGTAGTGGGGAGTCCAAAAATGTGTGTTTTGTGCGTCCTGAAAGACTTCTGCTGGATGTGTCTTGGCGACTGGAAGACTCACGGCAGTGAATACTACGAGTGCAGCCGCTACAAAGAAAACCCAGACATAGTGAACCAGAGCCAGCAGGCTCAGGCCAGAGAGGCCCTCAAGAAATACCTCTTCTACTTCGAGAGGGTGAGTTTTCTTTTAGTTGGCTCCAAAAAAATAAACCTTTTATTCAGAGCAAAAATGCCTAATGGATAAAAGGGAATAATAAAAAATCTCCTTTCCTCCCTCTGGACACAAAACAGATCTTTTTTTTTTTTAACCAATTACTGATCACTCCAAATCTTGCTTTACACAAAATAACAAAGAATATTATTTTATTCAGATTTTAGAGGGATTAACGCAACAGATTTTGCACTGCAATCTTTAGGGACGTTTGTGTCCAAAGTCATTCTCTGGGAACAAAAAGAATTACAGCACACAGTATTGGAGCTTGTAACGGGAAAAAAAATTGAGTCAATTGTAGCTTTTAGTATTGATTCCACCTCCAGAAATATATTTGTTCTGTATTTCATTCTTTTAATGAGTTTGTTTTAATCTCTACCCCTCCAGTGGGAGAATCACAACAAGTCTCTACAGTTGGAGGCTCAGACGTACCAGAGGATCCAGGAGAAGATCCAGGAGAGAGTGATGAACAACCTGGGAACCTGGATCGACTGGCAGTACCTGCATAACGCTTCAAGGCTACTGGCCAAGGTACTGGCACACACAACTGCCACAACGTGCGTGTGTTTGTTCTAAATGCAGAGGAAGTAGGTTGTTGATGTTAGTGAGAGGTGTACACTGATTATATGAAATCAGGGATTTTTCTGTTTTAGGATTTATTCAGGAAAACGTGACTGTATTTTAGCTTCAACTCAGTGTTTCCGTTTATAGCATTATATTTGGGGGGAAAGGACAAAGCAGTAACCTGGACAGTTTTAATTAGAAATAAAAAGGAAAGGCTGCTGGCTTTTTAGCTGCTGAGCAAGTCACACTCATGACAAAGTGCTCACATAACTCACATTTACTGGGGAAAAAAGGACCGGTCATCTGATTGACTTTCCTTAGTAATGATCGCTTCAATTTAAATCTGACAATCTGTGCGGTCTGCTTAATAACTTAAAATATGACTCATTATTTTATGGTTTAATATTCTCTATCTGGTCCATAGCAGATTGTTAACAGGGACGTTGGAAGACCATGTTGACATTTACCCATTTCTCTGCTTGCAGTGTCGCTACACGCTGCAGTACACGTACCCGTATGCCTATTACATGGAGTCCGGCCCTCGCAAGAAACTGGTGAGAAACCAACCTAACCCTTGTCCATGATTACAGAACACACATAAAATAGAGTAAGAGCTATTTTAATCCACCGTAAAGTCCACTCGGACTCAAGGATGAACTGATTGGAATTTGGTGGTCAAATGTCACTGTGACTTTCCAAAACGTTTTGCTCTAAAGCATCTGTGAGTGAATTGGGACAATTTCACACAAATGTATTCGATCCACATGCATGTAGGTCCACAACCTGACTGGTTGGTCTTTCCTTTCGCTGCAGTTTGAGTACCAGCAGGCCCAGCTGGAAGCAGAAATAGAAAACCTGTCATGGAAGGTGGAGCGGGCCGACAGCCACGAGAGGGCAGTGGTGGGAGGCGAGGGGGAGCTCAGCGCCAGCGACAGAGGGGTAAGGTCTACTGGATGCTGTGTAGATGGTAGCATGCTAATGAATGCACTCAACTGAGATGAGGAACGTGGTATATCTCAAAGTATCAGTATGTTATCATTGTGAGCGTTAGCACTTTGCAATTAGCTTTACGTAGCTGCAGTGGACTCTGTTTTGACTGAGAGAAGAGTAATGGAAAAAAAATTCTGACTTTGCTTGGTCAAATCTATCACTCTTAAGGGTCAATAATATGTTATGTTGTATGTTCTCTTATGTTTAAAGTTTTTTATTATTATTTTCACAGGATCTGGAGAACCAGATGCACATTGCTGAGAAGAAGCGACGCACGCTGTTGAACGGTTTCCAAGACACCTAAAGCTCTGTTGCAACTGCAAAGCACCAGCATCTCCCTCCTTGCTTCCTTCCTTTCTTACTTGCCTCCGCTCTTCGCTTCCTTCCACGACCGTCCCTCGGTGTCGGTGCAGTCATACTGATCCCCTCTTTTTGCATCTGCACTTGCCCATTCGCTTCTTGCTTTCCCTCCTCTCACTCCCATAATGCTGCAGGGCTACAGAATGGCACGATTGTATCTCCCTTTCACATCCACACCTCATTCACATGTTTTGGCTCTGGAGCGACACATTCACAAGGGTTAAAGCTTTTCACATCGCATCCTAAAGTCACACAAGTACTTGTCATGTGTCTGTTTGTGTGCTTGAATTGCACAAAAGGCATTTGGACGATGACACAAGCAGCTAGAAACAACTTATTTGAAAGAGTCAGAGTGACAATATTCCTGTGATGCTAGAATATTCATTGGAGGAAAATGATGGAGAAGCTTTTGCTGATGAGCAGACAGGGAAGATGTAGAGGATGATGCACGTCATTTTAAGGAGACCGTGCTCGTTGTGGGCCTGTATTTTGGGGTTTCAGTACTTATTGGATTGGCCTGAACCCTTTAATACGAGTAGGCAAGAACACATGCTAAGTTGCTTTTCCCATAACATTTCAAATGTTCTGTTACTGTTGGTTTAATTAACCTAAATAAAAAAACAAGTTCATAACGGCAGAGATAAATGAGGAGCCGTCGACCGTTTTATGGAAGTGGAGTACGTGATCCTTCCCAATCTTTACGAAACAAACCACATCTACCATGACCGGTGCAACTTCACAGGAGGTTATCGATGGCAGATTATGGAGCGCTTTCATAGTGTCGGTATTTGTTTGCAGCATCCTTCCATAAAGGTGTACATTGTGACCAGAAGTTTCACAATAAACACACCTTCCCGTGTGGTTTGTTTGTATTAGTACTTAACCGAACGAACTACTGCCAGCAAATATTTTGAGTCAATGTTTTTTTCGCCGTACAACTACTACAATAGGCGTTCTTGTCTCTACATACTCGTACTGATGTCGTTGCTTGATTGTGTCCAGCTAGTTTAGATCCAAACCAGTGGGAGCCAGACCTTCTCCTCAGCAATCCAACCCTGGCACCTTCACTGTTCAGATGAGGAACCTGAGCGTAATCCCAGGCATTCATGCACACTACAGCACCCACCACACATTGACATAGCATTCGCACACACACACACATACACCATGCTCACGTTGACTCTCATGCTCAAACACTCCTGCAGAAAATAAACGTCAACAGTTAATTTGTCTCCTTCCCCCATCTTGTGCTCGCTTCTCTTTTGTTTCCGTTCATTCCCTCGCTCTATTTTGCTTTATTTTTGTCTTTTTTCTTGCTCACATTGTTCAGTTTTCTCCTGGAAAATGGCTGTTGATAGATCGTTTAAAAAAAAAAAGGAAAAAAATGGTTGTAATTTTCAACAGTTGTACATTAATACAGAAATAGTTACTGAGAGTTTTTAAAACCAGACCCCGTCTCTCGTGTGTTCATTACAGACGCACATACACTCTAAGTAAAGCGATTATATTCTGAAAACTAAGTGGGGTGTTTGTCTTAAGTGGTAGTTTTTTGACTTTGTACAAGATTCAAATATTTATTTCCCTCTTAACATATGACACCTGAGGAAACGTAACCCCTACAATTTAGGTGGATCTTTCAACAGCAAAACCACCTGATTTTTGCAGAATATACAACTGTTTTACATCGTACTGCCGACCGCTCTGGCATGAAAATTCAATGTAACTGTCTTGTACGGGGAAATGCTACACAATTCTACAAATTAGTAATTCACACAGAATTCACACAGATACTTGACGGTGGTGGTGGTGTTGTTGAAGAAGAAACCCGGGCCACCTGTGATATTTTGAGATTGGCTCCTGGTTTGTCACAGGGCCCGGCGGTCTGCCTATTGGCCTAATATAGTCACGCGTAGTTGCTTGCCAAGGTGGTGTTAAGCACTCGTGTGAGTGAGAGACCCAGTTCCTATACGGTAACATGTAGTGTGTGCAGGACAGCACCCTCGGGTGTTGCAAAGCAGGACAGGGAGGCACATCCCATAATTAAACAGATGCAGGCTGTTTGGAAGCCGCTCTGCAGTGGGATGTGTTCAGATAAAGTGGAGCAATTTGGTATTCCATATTGTTGAAATCAAGCTCAGGCTTCTTTACACATATTCTTTAGTAACTAGTGTTGCACTAGAATTGTGAAACCTGTAATTGAATAATTGCATGCTATAAGTACTTAGACTAAAAATGTGTACTTTTCCCTCCATTACTTAAAAATAAAGCAAAATCTTTACTCCGCACATTCAGATAAACTAAACTGAATTAGTTTGACAAAGGATTTAAAATAGTTACATATTTACCTGCTACATCAACAAAATATTTAATATATTTATAAGTTAACGATGAGTACTAGATTTTAAAGTCAAATAACGGCAAAGTATGCGGAGATTTTTGTAGCAATTTTTAACGTCTTCCCATGTTCAATAACCTGAAAAAAACGTTTTAAGCGGTTCCCTCTGACAGGGGCGGATAAGTGGGCGTGTCGGCCGGATGTCGCGTCAGTGTCGGAAACCGACGCAAAGGATAGAAAACACGTGCTCTGCGAAAAGAACACGAGCTCCAGCTCTGGCTGGCGGAGGCCTCAATAAAGACACACAAACGTCAATTCCGACTTGGATCAATTGTGGTCGAAGTGCATCCGGTGAAAAACTACCAGGAACGTCGGACTCCTCCCGGCCGCTCCCGCGCTTTACGACCACGGGGCGGCACGCGCACGAAGAAAGTTCTGGCTTTCTGTTCCCTCGTCGTCGTCTTTTTATCCGTTCACGTGTGCTCGCGTGGTCGTAACTCTTCGTTGAGTTGTTTTGTTTTTACTTCGCTCTCTGACCGCTGAAGACGACGGGTGAGGGCTTTTTGGTTATTCGGACGTCATGGCGGACCTTCTGATCAGCGGTCAAACCGGCTACGTCCCGGACGACGGGCTTTCGGGACAGCAGCTGTTCAACGGTGGAGACGGGCTCACATACAAGTAAACACCCCTACTAACGTGCTAACCGTCCGTTAGCACCCCCCGTATGCTAACAGCAGGCTAGCCTCCCCGCTGCTCCTCCGGGGGCCACGGTAGGCCCGAGCTGTGCCTGTTCTAATTATTGATTAATCCACCAGTTGTGTGGTAGAAATGAAGCTTGATTGTCGCTTTTTTGGGCTCCAGAACAATGCATCCGTTGTGACTGGTTCAAAGGTCACGGTTGAGTAAAGTCAACGCTCGTGACTAGTCTGCGACTTGAACTTGGTTCCCACAGACCAGCAGGGTTCCTTGGGAAGACACGTGCATGTTCTATTACATGTTCTATTCACTGCGCGGTGCGGGTCCTAAGAAGGTTCATCTGTATCTGTCTTTAAAAAAAGAAAAAAACCTGTGTCTGATTTAGTTCCTTGGAAATTAAGGGACACACACTGGTCCATATTTAGGTCCTGGCTGACATTGGATCCAGAATATACTTGTGCAACAAGGGAGGAATGCGACTGCAAAGTACCGGGTAGATATTAATACCTTTTCCAGGAATCAGATAATCAAGTCATGTATTTGTCATCACTCTGTGTTTACCCGTACAGGAGTTTCCACTTTTTCATAGTGATTAATCAATAAATTGACACTCAATATGATCACCACTTGCAGCCTTGGTATCAATATCGATACAGTGGTTACCGATACCCACCAGCCCTTCAAGGATTACATTCTAAACTCAACCAATATCCAAAAGTTATTCAGAATAGTGTTTGATTAATTGGTCAACCACAGTAGCATGAACAACAAATGAGTATTACCACACTGAACCGCTGATTTAAGTTATCGCTTTTGAACTTTTTTTAAAAGTGCAAATTAAAATGAAGCCTTATCTTTAAATTGATTTGATTAATGCTTCAGCAGTCAATAGTTTGGCATCACAGAACCCGCAGTTCTTCATATCTTCTTCACATGACAGCACGTGATTGTCTCACATCCACAGCGGCAGCAGAAGCCGCTCCACGGTGGTGAAAGGTTTCTTTTGTGCCACTCGTCTGGCTGCGAGGCAGCTGCCTTTCTAGGCAGATTCAGAGTTGCCAGTTAGTGAGATGACAAACTTCTTCTGCATCTGTAGCCCATTTTTACTTGAAAAAAGAAATTCCACCTGCTTTCCCACCAGAGTTGGATCTTTGGTTTCCATATGACGCCTTAATTTTGCCGGCTTCGTTGGAGAGCCGTATGCTGCGTTCACACCAGAAGCAAAGCGAATTTTCGCCGCACGTGTCTCCGTAAAGACGGTTATAATAATTTCTGCTATCCACCATGGAAATAAATAACCACTATTTCTGCTCTTTATTTCTTGTGTGAATTACACAAACGCCGGAACCGCAAACGGTGTTGTGTTTGGATTCATGACATCATCCGTCGCCGCTCACAGCTTGAATTTCACAGACTCCAAGTGCGTCTGCTTCAGGCGGACCAGCAGCCGGTCTGATGACCTGTGTCCCTCTCGGACGTTGGGTCTCAGCTGTGTGTGTGTGTGTGTGTCTCTGGCAGCTTAATGAAGTGTATTCACGCTTTGACAGCAGGACGGCGGTGATGACGAGCGGAGCATCTCAACTCTGATTTGCTTTCGCAAGACAAAGTGTTTTGCGGCCCTCTATGTGGAGCTTGCGGCCCAATCGGGGGCCTTATGGTTAAGAATCGCTGGCTTAAATATCGCACACCACGTGACTCACACTCAACCAATCAGAACGCTGGATTTCATCTCCCGCACTGTAAAGTGTATTTAAGTATAGTATTAATGATATCAATGTCGTGGACTATTCCATAACACTCCCGTGTGTCTTTTGTAAGCCTCCCTGACTCATCCTCCATATGAACACACATGCTGCTTTGGCTCAAACATTTCACACACACATGTATTGTTGCATGACACCTCCTGGACACTCCCAGTGTGTCCTGTTTAGAGTAGCTTGAGCTGTTAGGATGGACGCCTTGTAAGAAGCTGCTCTAACCTCTGTGTTCCTTGTCTCTCCTCCAGTGACTTTCTGATTCTGCCGGGCTTCATTGACTTCACATCAGATCAAGTGGTGAGTCGCGATGACGATGCCGTCCTGGTGTTAAACTAATGAATTTGGGATGATCTGAGAGTGAGGATTAGCATCTGTGTGCCTGCCAGGCTCCCAACATCAACACACGCACAGCAGCTTACCCTCAAATCAAAGCCACTGGATGGATTGAGCGATTATTTTATTACAGTTGTGCTCTTCCTAAAATGACATGTAAAATGTGTTTAATAGAAAAGGTTAATCACATTAATATTATTATATATACCAGTGTAATTTCCGGTCTTTGAGGTAGATTACACAGATTTTCCTTTTGAGTATCCCACCTCTTTTTTTAATTATTGTGTGTCAAATATTCTCCTGACGTCTTTTGTCCAGGACTTGACCTCAGCGCTCACCAAACAAATCACCATAAAAACGCCCTTCATCTCCTCCCCCATGGACACCGTCACGGAGGCCAACCTGGCCATCGCCATGGCAGTAAGTAGCACAAGCCGCCTCCCTCCGTTTGTCGGCCTGTTTATTGCTCCCGCTAACACGACAGCGCACTGTGACTCTCGCTCGCAGCTAACGGGCGGCATCGGCTTCATCCACCACAACTGCACGCCGGAGTTCCAGGCCAACGAAGTTCGCAAAGTCAAGGTAGCGATGATGACACAGAGACACACTTGTTTTCTTCCTTCTTCACACTCTTGCATCTGCACGTCTTGTTTGGATGTTTTATCTTTCCTGTCATCTCACGTCAGCATCTTTTTTTGTCTTTTTCTATTTTTATTGGATTTTCTTAGTGTGAAAAATGTATCCCTGCATCCTTTGCTCCTCTGCTCTAGATAGAAGCCAGTGAATATTATTTATCTAACCCTCCCTTTTGGATCCCTTACATCCACTTCCCATTTATACACACCCTCCTACTTCCCTGTGCTTTCTTTCACGCCCTCTCCTCATCTCCTGCCTCCCCTCCCTCCGCCAGCGCTATGAGCAGGGCTTCATCACAGACCCAGTGGTGATGAGTCCCAACGAGCGCGTTCGAGACGTCTTCCAGGCCAAGGCTCGCCACGGCTTCTGTGGAATCCCCATCACAGACAACGGACAAATGGGCGGCAAGCTGGTGGGCATCATCTCCTCTCGAGACATCGACTTCCTGAAGGAGGAAGAGCACAACCTGCCACTGAGCGAGGTGGGTGGAGCTTAGATGAGCCATGAGCTGGTAGGATAGAAAACTACCATGATGCTGAATGTGGGTGAAAAGGGATTATTGTGATACAAATGGATGTTGTGATGGAAAACGGTTCAAACAGACATATTTGAGAGCCCTCGTTTTCACTCCGTGTGTAAATGTCTTGCCAGGTGATGACGAGACAGGAGGACCTTGTGGTGGCCCCTGCTGGAGTGACACTGAAAGAAGCCAATGAAATCCTCCAGAGGAGTAAGAAGGGTGAGGTGGCTGTTTTAAGTTTTCACTCATGACTGATTTTTTTTCTTTACCCGTCACTCACCGTTGAAAACCCGTCACAAAAATTGACCCGCATGCACGTGTGCTCACTTTGTTTGACTTCCTCCGATCCGCCCTGCAGGTAAGCTGCCTATCGTGAACGAGGAGGGGTCTCTGGTGTCCATCATTGCCCGCACCGACTTGAAGAAGAACAGAGACTTCCCTCTGGCCTCCAAGGACTCGCGCAAACAGCTGCTGTGCGGCGCCGCCATCGGCACCCACAACGACGACAAGTATCGGCTGGACCTGCTGGTGCAGAGCGGGGTGGACGTGGTCGTGCTGGTATGGAGGACGCCGGTGCCGATTTCGTGCGCCTCCAAAGTAACGATGCTGTGTGAATAACGACGTCATGTGCTTCTTCTGTGCCTCCAGGACTCGTCCCAAGGCAACTCCATCTTCCAGATCAACATGATCCGATACATCAAAGAGAAGCATCCCAATGTGCAGGTCATCGGAGGCAACGGTAACTTTGTTGACCAGCTTTTCTTTACGTTTTTTTCCTTTGATCCCAGCTATCCAGCCCCGAGTGATCTCATTGCTCATCGATTTGATTCAGTCCTGCTGGGTTAGAGATATTTGTTTTTTACTCGATTGAGGTCTGTCTGTTTAAAGCTTCACGCATTCCTGGGAAAAAGCACTTTGCAAAAGATCTATCTCTATTTTACAACCCGACAATTTCAAATGGAGTCTGTTTCAAATCAGAAAATCCCTCTTTCCCCACCCTAAAGGCCTTTGTGTCTCGCCCCCTCTGCTGCAGTGGTGACCGCGGCTCAGGCGAAGAACCTCATAGACGCTGGAGCGGACGGGCTGAGAGTCGGGATGGGCAGCGGCTCCATCTGCATAACACAGGAGGGTAAGTGACCGACTGACCACCAACTAGCGCTAACTGCTCCACCCACAGAGCAGCCCGCCGCCGTCCGGATTCTGTCCTGAGGTTATTTAATGCGCCAGTCAAGGACACTCTTTGTGCAGTTTGTCGTTTCGTTGATGGAAAAAAAGCGTGACGTTTGGCGTCCGGTTTGCGTTAACAGCGTGATGCGATCGTTTGGCTCAACGGTTTGTGGTTGTGTCGTTGTAGTTCGTCTTGGTTGAAGACTCCTCGTGCTGCTCCCGTTGACTTGTTTGTTCGTCTTGCTTTAGAAGCACTGCGTGTTGACATTTTCCGGCGATTAGTCAAGATCTTTGAGCTCTGACCGGTCGGGGATCAGCTTGTGTTTCTCTCACACGTCAGCCAGGCCCACCTGGAAGGGTGAATCCTGCCGTTAGGTGTGGATTCTAGATACGTAATGTAAGTCTGTATTTCTCCATCTTGTTCCAAGATTCCTCTCAATTCATTGGCATCATGTGTTCATTTTCTTTTACTTACGCTTTTCTTCCCTTTTGCCCATCACCTGGTCTTCCACCAACCTTCTCTCTGTTTCTGCCTCGTCGATTCTTTATCTTACTTCCCACCCTTGTGCGTGTGTGTCCCTGTCCAGCTCCCCTCAGTGTACCACCAGCAATAAATCGCCACAGCCCCAAAACCCCCACCTCTGTTACGGGATACTCCAGTAAGTTCACCTGGGCCTCCCATTGGCCCCACTATCACAGTGTGCCCGCCCTCCCCACTCCACAGCCTGCTGCACTGATTGGTTAACAGCTTTGCATCGGTAGCAATACTAAAGTTAGTGGCCCTTGGACTGTTTGCTTTGAGAGCTCAGCCTTTGGGGTTTTGCTTGTTTCCCCATCATCGCTAATCTGTCAATCAGCACAAGAGAATGATGCTCCTCCTCTTCCTCCTCCACCCACGTTACTGAACTGTTGGGCTCAGGTCTTGATGATCGATTCATTAATAATTGTGATCACAAAGGACAAGCCGCCCTTGATAAGTGTCCATTCCACAGTTTGTGTCCACTGGTCGTTACACACGACGGTAGTTTCAGAGGACGTTGTAATTGTTTGTCTTTAGGAAGACTTCGTATTAATGCATATGGAAGCAGAGCCGACCATACTTCTACTTCAAGTGATCAGGGCCTCATTATGAGCCCAAGTGTACTTCTTCAATATTTTATAGAGGACACGTCAATGCTGCTCTTGTGCCGTTCATCATCTGAGGCAGGATGAGGTATTTCTATTCTTTCCTTGTTTTGTATTTGTGTGTCTTTTCCCCCCTATTAATACCAATTAAACGTGTACATTGTGTAACACCTCTAGATACAAGTTACTCTGTGAAACGTATTTGTACCGGAGCCATTTTTCTATGGTAAATGCTAATGCTTACTACTGGTACCTCCTTGTCAATCCCAGTGTAAAGACGCAACATGTCCTCTCTGAGACAATATCGGTACACAGCAGGAGAATTGGGACTAGTAGTTTGGCTGGTAAGTACCGTGCAGCCCTGCGTTCACAGAAAACCCCCAACCGGCAAAACAGGAATCGGGATGTTTTTCTTTGGTGGCTCTTTGAAAATGTGATTGTCTGCGTACCTTTGAAAGATTGGGGCTTGGAGTCTTCGTTGTGTCTGAAATCGATTAGCAGTCTGTCTGTGGACACACGGCGGGAGCAGGGGATTTATCTGCTGATGCGACAAGTACAACTTCTCCATTCTCCCTTTTCTTTAACACCAGAAAGTGATTCATTCTCAGCCCGTCTGCTACTTCACCGTGCGTGAGAGTAATTTATTGTTTTTTTTAACATGACCTAGTTTCTTTATAGAAGAAGCTTTATAGAACTCTCTTGAGCTCATTCAGGTTAGTCACGTTTTTAATGTCAATTTGTTTGTAATTGTGACTTTAGTGAGCTTAGGTTGTGTGTCCTGTAGTTGCTTGTGGAGTCGATGAATAGGAGCTCACAGCCATCATGAGACCAGCAGCACGTGTTTACGCGTTTATTTCATTAACCTTCTCTTCTTCTCATTCCTCTTCAGTGCTGGCGTGCGGCAGACCGCAGGCCACCGCCGTCTACAAGGTGTCCGAGTACGCCAGGCGCTTCGGCGTGCCGGTCATCGCTGATGGCGGCATCCAGACGGTGGGGCACATTGCCAAAGCCTTGGCCCTGGGAGCGTCCACAGGTATTTCACAGTCAAGACTGCAGATGTTTAAACTCGTATTACAAAGGTTTACTCCCTGAGTGGATTCATGATGGTAGAAAGCAACAAAGAAAGCTGTCATCTTAACTGCTGTGTGTGTGTGTGTGTGTGTGTGTGTGTCCAGTGATGATGGGCTCTTTGCTGGCTGCCACCAGTGAAGCTCCTGGTGAGTATTTCTTCTCCGATGGCATCAGGCTAAAGAAGTACCGCGGCATGGGCTCCCTGGATGCCATGGATAAGAACCTGGGCTCCCAGACCAGATACTTCAGGTACAGAAATACTAAAACGGGCTCAACGGAATGTATCATTCAACTCCATCTCCAGCGAACAGCCCCATAGCGACTGTATATGTGCAGGTTAAATTACCTCAAGACGATGGTTCAACTTGGGTTTTACCCAAAAAGACTAAAGCCTGATTTATGCTTCTGCGTTTTCAGAGCGACGCAGACGTGTCCCTTGCGTGCCTTTTCACACCCCCTTGCGTCCTTGCGTGTGTCGAGCCATTTTTCTAGGCTTGCGTGAGGCTTTGCGCACCAGGCTGCGATTGGTCTGCTAACTACATCCTTTACGGAGTCTCACATTTCCGCTTTCATAGCCCGATACCGCCATTATTAAAACGAAGAATGTGTACGAGAGAAATGCGTAAATATGACCGCTTATACAAGCCGTCATTGGCGGGTTGCAGAAGCGGGTTGGATTCACGGAGGGAGATCGCCGCAAACGGCGGTTTGCAGGTCGAGAGGTGCGGAAAGTTGTGGAGGAAAATACAGGACAAATGTGTCCGCGATGAAAAGCAGCAGTGGCGATGCACGGGGCAATAAAGTCTATGATAAATAAATAAATAAATAGACGTGACTCTCTAGGTCGTCTTCAACAAAAACACGTTACTCTGCCTGTTGTTCTGCCGGTGAATTGCTCTGCAACACGCTCTGCAGCACAAGACTTTTAGAAGCATGAATTGAAACGAGTGCGTCGACGCAACGACGCAGAAGCATGCGCCAGCCTTAAGATGATAGTGCATAGTTATAATTGCTTTAATTGAATCCTCATTTCAAGGATATTTAGCCACCAGGTGGCAGTACACAGGTTGTACCCACAATCTGCTTTAAATGTCCCTGAGAGATTGTGTGCTCTTTCTATGGCACCAACACCCTCACTTCACTCACAGGTCGTTGTCCTCCTCTTCCCTCCCAGTGAGTGCGATAAGATCAAAGTGGCTCAGGGTGTTTCTGGAGCGGTGCAGGACAAAGGCTCCATCCACAAGTTTGTTCCCTACCTGCTGGCTGGCATCCAGCACTCCTGCCAGGACATCGGCGCCAAGAGCCTCACACAGCTCAGGTGAGCACACAGATCATTAAATAAAGGTCCACGCTATCGATCTGGCAAATGAAATAACAGCTGAAGGTACATTTACGCTGTCCATTGCATTTTTGCTATACGATAGCTGTGCATTCTACCGTTACAATATGCACTGGTACCACTTCAGACCTAGTACCTTTCTTTTTGGGTAACATTACTTTTACTTTCCTCGTTGCAGAGCCATGATGTACTCTGGAGATCTAAAATTTGAAAAGAGAACAACTTCGGCTCAAACGGAGGGTGGAGTCCACAGCCTGCACAGGTACACACGTGCAACACAAGAAACTACTCACCCGAGTAGACTTGAACTACTCTTAGTAATTTGGTTTAATGTTTTAACATCTTGCTTTGCTCAAACCCAACGGTTAAACTTCCTCTTTCTCCCCACAGCTACGAAAAACGTCTGTTTTGAGAAGACGGCAGACGGAGAATTGGTAGTAGAGGCATTATGCAAACACATCTCATGCCGGATCCTCTTTCATTCACGTCCACACACATTAGTAACTTTTCATACTAATAAGCCTTTAAAAATGAGCCCTTGCAGCCATTGGCTCAAGGATCCATTAAGTCTTCCTATCAGTGTCATCTATGCATTGTCTTTGTGTGGGTGACGGGTGGGGATTAAGCATTTATCAATCAGTGCATGTGTGATTGAGTCCCACGATGTCTTTCGAGTTGTGATAACGGTAGATGTCCGGAGTGTCCATGTGAAGACAAAAAAACGTTGTCCAATAATAAAGCTTCTATGTTTTTCCACGAGCTGCTGTCTTTGGTTTTGTCACTTGGGCTTTTGGTTTTGTGAACATCTGTCATTTTAACAATATAACAAAATGCAATTTTTAATTAGTCAAACTAGTACTTTGTAAAGCGCAATGGAGAAAAGATAAATAGTTTGGTTTGTTACAAGTACATGAAATAAGGTTTGACACAATTCTATAGTTTGTCAAGATATGTTTTGACGTTACGTGTCAACAAAAGTAAAATGCGAGTGTAGCAGTAAACCTGAAAAATAATCAAATTATACTATTATTAAAGTGAAACTATTCCATGGGTAGCAGATTTATAAAGAAGCAGTTTTTCAAGTATAGTGTGTTAAGTGGAATACGGTCACAAAACTAATAAAGATTTTAATTGAACAAACACAAAAAACATTTTGCTTCGGTTCAAAGTTGAGAATGTTTAAAAAAAGTAATTGGTCCTCATGTCAAAAAAAGCCAAATACTGCAGGTATATATATATATATAAAGCTATAGAATAATGATGTTGAAAAAAGTGTAGTATTTTGACTAAGTCAAAAAAAATTGTTTTAAAGGTAAAAAAAAATATCAATAGTCATTAATTTTCATAATGTGTCCAGAAAAAGTAATTAAAAGCCGCATATAGTGCATATACAAAAAAGGGCTAAATATTGTCCTAATACCATACAACAATATGCCAACTATAACAAAAGACACATTGTAGTTTATTTCAAAATATTACTACTATAATAGTAATTAAATAAATGCCATTAAATGTCAACATTTGCAAATATGTTTTCCTATTTGATAGCATTTAGGCATTTAAAAAAATAAACTAAAAGTTCCCAATACAGTATGTCATATACTATATTTCATAGTATGGTGTTAAATTCACTATATACTGCAATATAATTAAATGTTACATAAAGTAATATAAATGTAACAGTATAGTTGCATTTGAAATGTTATAATCAATCAACGGTTCAAACGACATAATAAAAAGTCCAAGTCCGCACAAATGTCACAATATAGAAGCTCCACATTTCTTTTTATTCTTCATCTTCATACGGCTGCAGCTCAAAAGAACTAAAACTTAATAGCGGCCCAGAGAACTTCATACAGAGAGAGAGAGAGACACCAAATAAACGCATCAGATCACATAATAACTGATCTGTTGATTACTGAGCTACACTGAGGTTCAACGCGAGGCGGAGGAGCCCGGCCTTCCTCCATCCGAGAACAAGCAGCCGCCTCCGCTCCACCCACCTCGCCTCCTCCCGCTGCAGGTCTCCAGGGCGGATCAGATGGTCCACAGAATCCCCCGGACTTTCCAGGGTGAAGCCCAGACAGACTGCTGGGTGTCACCTGGTCACACTCCGCTGGTCCCACCTGTCTCACGTCGTCCATCATGTCCCATGCTGATTCACACACCTGGACGAGTCCGTTTAGAGGCTCAATTAGCACAACAAAAGATCCCCGTTTTACGCGGGAACCTAAGCAACGAGTCGCAGAATACCCATAATACCCATAATCACTCTGACATGAAGATTCTGCTTTTTAAATGTCCAGGTTGAATATGACTTTCAACGACTTTCAAAAACAGGCTTGTTAAATAAGTTATTGGAAATTGACTGAAGTTAATGGTTGCTGTTGAAGCATAAGATGGGTATTTAAAAAAAACGTCTTTAAACCAGATGTAACCAACATTAGTATTAATGCCAGTACTATGATCACGACTAGTATTAATGTCAGTACTATGATCACGACTAGTATTAATGTCAGTACTATGATCACAAGTATTAATGTCAGTACTATGATCACGACTAGTATTAATGTCAGTACTATGATCACGACTAGTATTAATGTCAGTACTATGATCACGACTAGTATTAATGTCAGTACTATGATCACAACTAGAATTCATGCCAGTACTATAATCACAACTAGTAATCATGACCGTAATATGATCACGACTAGTATTAATGCCAGTACTATGGTCACGACTAGTATTCATGGCAATACTATGATCACAACTAGTATTCATGCCAGTACTATGATCACAACTAGTATTCATGCCAGTACTATGATCACGACTAGTATTAATGCCAGTACTATGATCACGACTAGTATTAATGCCAGTACTATGATCACAACAAGTATTAATGTCAGTACTATGATCACGACTAGTATTCATGCCAGTACTATGATCACGACTAGTATTAATGCCAATACTATGATCACAACTAGTATTCATGCCAGTACTATGATCACAACTAGTATTTATCGCAGTACTATGATCACGACTAGTATTAATGTCAGTACTATGATCACTAGTATTAATGTCAGTACTATGATCACGACTAGTATTAATGGCAGTACTATGATCACTACTATTAATGTCAGTACTATGATCACGACTAGTATTAATGTCAGTACTATGATCACGACTAGTATTAATGTCAGTACTATGATCACAACTAGAATTCATGCCAGTACTATAATCACAACTAGTATTAATGCCAGTACTATGATCACGACTAGTATTAATGCCAGTACTATGATCACGACTAGTATTCATGCCAATACTATGATCACAACTAGTATTCATGCCAGTACTATGATCACAACTAGTATTCATGCCAGTACTATGATCACGACTAGTATTAATGCCAGTACTATGATCACGACTAGTATTAATGCCAGTACTATGATCACAACAAGTATTAATGTCAGTACTATGATCACGACTAGTATTCATGCCAGTACTATGATCACGACTAGTATTAATGCCAATACTATGATCACAACTAGTATTCATGCCAGTACTATGATCACAACTAGTATTCATGCCAGTACTATGATCACGACTAATATTAATGTCAGTACTATGATCACAACTAGTATTAATGTCAGTACTATGATCACGACTAGTAATGTCACTACTATGATGACACATTCAGGATAGTAATGTGTACTCTATCTAAGTAAAATAACAATTTCTATTCAGAAATACTGAAAAAGAAGAAGAATGAAGAAAAGCCGCTGCCGTGTGTGTGTGTGTGTGTGTGTGTGTGTGTGTGTGTGTCGTGTGTGCGTGCGTGTGTGTGTGTGTGTGTGTGTGTGAGGCATTTTCACTCAACTTCCAGTTACACTCACTTCCCTCTAGATTCATTTGCTTTTATGTGTCTGTATCTGTTGTTTGTGGCGCTTCAGACGTCACGTGGTATCACTTTAACGCGACATGTATCAAAAAAACACTCACAGTGAAAACAAGCAGAGTGAACGCACACCGCATCTGTGCGCAACACACGATATCTAATCAATACTTATTTATAGATAAATAAACTCTAAGCACCTCGAGGCAAGTTACGACTCCAATTTTCACACAGCTGACTTGTTAAGCTGGCGGTGGACCTTCCGAGCGCGAGGCCGGTTGTCCCTGTGGGGGACGGGGACACCGGGGGGAGTGGACACAGAAAGGAAAGGAGGAGCTTCCGCGAGAGCAGGAGAAGTGAAAGTGAAATGAACCTCTCCAGTATTTAAAGAGGAAGTCTGAGCTCTGAGAGAAGTTGGCAGGCGGGACAACAGGAGACGACGATCTGCTGCGAGACGTCGGTGAGCCGGAGGACATTCACTTACTATTCTTAATAGTACTTTACACTCGTGTCTTCCTCCCTTCATGTCTTCATGTCACTCCGCTGGCTTTAAGGTGAAATGTCCTGCTTCCACCTCTGTCCCGCTTTGACTTCTTAAACTTTGTCCTCACATTCTTCTCAGTAAATCTCTTTCCACGGCTTCTAAGACTGTCGTCGTCTGTCCAACGGCTGCTCTCCTCGTTGGACTGAGGCGTCAAGTGTCCTTGTCAAGGGAGCGAGGAAGCCAATAGGCGACAAACTGAAAGTGACTCTATTCTTTTTTTTTTTTACATTCTTTGACCTCAGTGTGTTGAGTTGTTTATTAGTCGTTGTCTTTCAGATGTGAGGACCAGAGGAAATCGTAGAGCTTTTTTTTAATTTCCTGAAGGAAGAATCAATCCCGCGACGGAAACGTCCTCCTCAACGTCTCCGTCCTTTTATCGCTCCATCAGCGCTCGTCCGGCTCACCTCCTGTTCCTGCTTTCTTCCTCCCTCTCGTCACTCGGCACACGATAAACAACTGGTTTTTCCAGACGGGCGACCAGAGATAACACCGCTCCAAGAAGCCGAGGTGGACTCCTGAAACGTTGACATCTTCTGTCCTTTGGGCCCGGACACCTGTTTGGACCCGGCGCTGGTGTTTTGGGCGGGTGGGATTGTAACGGAACCCATAATGCAGCTGTGATTCTTCGCTCCAGCTGGTTACGGGGTCCGTTTCTATCCCACAGCGCGGAGGTCTTCTTCCGGTCGGCTCCTTCTCCAGCAGCACGACGCCTGTCTTTGCACCTCAGCCTCAAATGGAATCTGATTTGATTGATCCTTAAAAAAGGGAAACACAAACATTACATTTACAAAAACTGTTTGGAAAAGTAAAAAAGTTTTTTAAAAAAGTATCCGCAGTAAAATGTAAACATCCCAGTTTATCACTTAATCTCTCTCAGTCAGCTGCTGAGGGACACTTGTTTCTTTCAAAAGAAATACATAATGAAAGTGAAAATGTTGAACTCCGTCTCGCTGGTAGAACTGAATGAGGTGAAGTATAAATACATCAGATGTTTCTCTGATGCAGAAGGTGTTTTTCCTCAATGACACGTTTTCTCCCGGATTGCTGACAACAGTGAACGCAACCGGGAACTTCGTGTCAGCCAAGAATGACACCTCGAACCGCAGCAGGAGAACTTCCCGCCAATCAGACCTCAGTCTGTGTAATGACATTTTAGCTTCTCTGTGCACTATTTCTAAATAAATCCACAAGATATGTCTCAAAACTATTACCGTCCGTCCCTGTGTGCATTTCTCCTACTGTGTTGAAGTCGACTACCATTCAGATGCACCATACAGAAGAGCCAGACGCTAACTTACTTACTCCTCTGGCGTCTCTGATGTTGACTGAAATGATAAATGGATTGTATTTGTATAGTGCTTTTCTAGTCCTTCAGACACTCAAAGCGCTATACAAATCACCTGCCCCCTCTCCCACACACACACACACATGCACGCTGCTGGAGCGCTGATCCTCTGATAGGACGATCCTCCTCTTCCAATGAGAAGTGTACGTAGTAGTAATTTGGGGCCTAACGCAGATAACCGGTTAAATGGTCGGCCTAAACAGGACAAACGCCACGGGTGCTTTAACGCAAATTAGGATACTAGAAGTGTTTATTCAGTAAAAACGGCACACACACAAAAAAACACACAGGTAAAATGCGTCCGTTTAAAAAAAAACGCCCAGCAAAAGGATTCAGGGACCCGAGTCCCTGAATCCTAATTTGTCAGGGACACACCTTCACTGAAATAAAGAAACGGTTTGGTTTGAAAATGAAGGACAGCATCGGCGTCCCTCACACCTGAAACGCCCTCGACACTCACACAGGAAGCGCCAGTGACCCCGAAGGTGCAGGAAACTAGACGGCGTGCGGTGCACCAGCTCCAAGTCTGGCTCGTAGTTTCCTCTGCTGTCATGCATGACCGACTGACTCTGACTATTCTGCATTTCCCTCTCGCGCTCCCTCGACCACGGCAGCCGAGTTGACTGTCGCCGATTTGCTCCTCCGCACCTTTTTTCTTCAATGGAGCCGTGACGCGTCTTCTCGCTTCGAAAGACTGCACTTTAAATGAGGTGACAATGATGTGAAGACCTGCAGCTGTAAGAGGTTTTGACAGCTTTTAGTAGCTTGCAATTTTGTTGTGACCAACTGACCGTAAAACATTCCCAGGTTTACGTAGATTAGGAATAATCTCGCCAATTCTACTAAAGAGACATAACCCGTAAGAGAATGTATGTAGAAAAAAACAGATTACAACTTGATTTCTGAGAAGTAGAAACTTTTCACACGATGGAGGAGGAATCGGGACAAATGCTTCCTCATTCATTTGGTCAGTCAGAGGGTTTTTCAAAATGTGACTTGTCTGGATAGTGTGAGAACTCTTAATGCCACCGAGACAACCACCCCACTAACATCTGGCTTTAGTCTTTGTTCATTTTATGTCGTCTCCGATCGTCAGTGATAGAAACAGAAGACCTGGAAGAACTTTCCTCGCCTTCAGTTGGCTGAACACCTGCACACACGCGCCCGCCAGCTCTTTGGTCATTTGCTTGTAGACCTCAGCGTCCTTCAGCTGGCCCGGGATCTGCTTGCAGACGGCCTTTGACCCCCTCGGGTGGTCAGCAGTTCTTTGATTTCATTCTCCAGCCAGTTGTGCATCTTTTCTCTTGCTAAAGCATTAATGTTATTTATCTGGTCCTGAACTTATTATAACCCCCCCTGTATGTGGTTTCATGTGCAGCACTCGCCTTGTTGTTAAAAGGTGCTATACAGATGAAATTGCCGTGCCTTGTATCTGATGGTGGTCCTGCCGTACAGCTGGTTTACTACTCTACGTATTTGAATCATTTCTGTCATATGAATTGAATCTTTTAGGTTTTTGGGGAGTTTTTCCTGTGCTCATGTGAAGGTTTTGGGACGGACAATGTTGCATGTGGACAGACTGTAAAACCCCTTTGAGGTAATTTGGGATTTTGGGGCAGTTGTCGTCAGTGTGGAATTGCCGTGGGTGAAAAAAATAACAAAAGCACACTTTCAGGGGGGCCCTGTTATAATGGCAGGGGAAACCCACACATATCGCAAATTAAAGGCCAAACTAGTTAGTAGGTTGAATTAATTTATTTTGCAACAAATAAAAAAATATCTTTTTAAAATGATAAAACCATCAATGTAACGAAGGTACAGACGATTTCAGAACTACGACGCAGTTCCGACCAATCAGAAAACATTGTTCCAGCTTGTGTCAGGTGACATCACTTGATCCTTTTTCATAACCAAGAGGCTCATGGGTAGTGTAGTATTTAAAAAAGCGCGTCCGCTTCCTGTCTCCTCACCGACTGCACCAAACCCCAACGAGAAAACGTCCCATTTAACGCTCACGCGTAGCCGCACTTGTGCAGCTTCAGGTTGCGCTGGTCTGAGTACCTCTTCCCGCACTTGTCACAGATGTACTGCTTGCCGCCGGCGTGCACGCGTGTCTTGTGCGTCTTCAGGTGGCTTCCCTGGCTGAAGGTCTTGCCGCACACGTCGCAGGAGTACGGCTTCTCCCCGGTGTGCACGCGCAGGTGCAGCTTCAGGCTGTTGGCGATGCTGAACCTCTTGTCGCAAAAGCTGCAGGCGAAGGGCCGCTCGGCAGAGTGCGTGCGCCTGTGAGTGTTCAGGCTGCTCTGCTGGTTGAACGTCTTGCCGCACTCGTGGCAGCCGAAAGGCCGCTCGCCGGTGTGGATCCTCTGGTGGATCTTCAGGTTCACCGACTGGCGGAAGGTCTTCCCGCAGATCTCGCAGCCGAAAGGCCGCTCGCCGGTGTGGATCCTCTGGTGGATCTTCAGGTTCACCGACTGGCAGAAGGTCTTCCCGCAGCGGTCGCAGCCGAAAGGCCGCTCGCCGGTGTGGATCCTCTGGTGCATCTTCAGGTTCATCGAGTGGCGGAAGGTCTTCCCGCAGACGTCGCAGCCGAAGGGCCGCAGGCCGCTGTGGACCCTCTGGTGGTTCTTGAGGTTGGCGGCGTGGCGGAAGGCTTTGGGGCACTGCTCGCACTGGAAGGGCTTCAGCCCGCTGTGGACGAGCTGGTGCGTCTTCAGGGCGACGGCGCGGGTGAAGCTTTTGCCGCAGGCGCCGCACACGTGGACCTTCTTGGCGGTGTGCGCGTGCGCGTGGCGCTGCAGGTTCTGCAGCAGGTTGAAGCGCCGGCCGCACACCTCGCAGCCGTGCGGTTTCTCCCCCGTGTGCAGGACGGCGTGCGTCTTTAGCTGCGTCTCCTTGGCAAAGTGCTTGCCGCACTGCGGGCACTGGTGAGGACGCTCGCCGTGGCTCCGCAGACTTTGCCGTTGGGCAAACGCTCGGCCGCAGACCCCGCTGGCGAGCGGCTTCAGATTGCTGGGAGACGTGAACGCTTTACCGCTCGCTGCGAACCCCGGCTGCTGGAGGTCAGAGGTCGCCGGGTCGGTGGCCTCAACTCGAGCTCCTGGAAGGAAAACACCAGGTCTTATTCGGACGCGTCTCTTGATCACACACCGATCGGCTGAGTATTGATCAGGCACTCACGCTCAGCGATGGCTCCCAGGTCCACGTTGCCTTGTTCGTCTTTGACCGTCACCGCCGGGACAAGCGGGTTCTCGGTCGGCTCGGCCTGCACAGTCACACAAACGAACAGACGTCAGTCAAGTCAGCGAACGCACCACGTAGCGACAGGCGGGTCAACAGGGGAGTCTTACCCGAGCGGACTTGTGACTGTCGGAGTTCTGGACCTCCGTGACGGACGAATCAGTCGTTCGAACAGAAGCTGCTTTGAAACATCCTCTTATTTGCTTTTTATTTCTGAGTGCTGATCAGGGATTGTTTAGGTCAGATATTGATCAAGTATAGGTCAGGTATTAATCAGGCACTCACTCTCTTTGATGCCGTGTTTGTCTCTGTTGGTCAACAGGTTGTCTGTCCCCTCGTCCCCTGGTTTGGTCTGCAGTCACACAAACGGACAGATGTCAGTCAGTCAGGTCAGTGAACGCACCACTGACCCGACAGGTGAGTCTTACCTGAGTGGGCCGTCGAGCATCGGAGGTCTCAGGTTGGACTCCGTACGAGTGCTCCGCCTCTGGGACGGGCAGAGCACACAAATCGTTAGTATGGACTCGCCCCCCCCCCCGGGAGCTCGCTGATTGGTGGTAGTTTTGTGTGGGCGGGGCCTGCATGCGTACCGACGTGTGCGCCGTTGAGGATGTTGAGGACACTGGTCTGGGGTCTCCTGCCCCCCCGACCCGACGGAGGCTCCGGTGACAGTTCGGCTTCATCCACCACATTCATGATCTTCCCCAGAGCCTCGTTTCCCAGAGTCTCCATGACGGACGCAAACTGCACCTGATGGGATCAGAGGTCACGCAGAGGTCAACACCAGACATATTCACGCACATGTTGGGGAGGCCGAGCGTGGGAATTAAAAAACAAACGACACAAACACTTTTTAAATCTCCTGTCTTCCAACTTTTTTCCCCTCTTGCTGTGTTTAGTAAGTTATTTCATCTGTTGTGTTCAGAGCTCACTGATAATAAAACGACTTTCCTAACGGAGTTTGAACCCAAGAAGCTGAGCGGAACAGAACCACTCGTAACACATGTCATCCGCCGGGGGCGCAGCAAGCTCCTCACCAGCTTCTCCCGGCTGTGGGGCCGAGGGGGGGCCTCTCCGGTCCGGATCTCCAGGTGGAGCTGGAAGGTAGAACTGTCCTCCACCAGCTTCTTCAGCTGTGCCACCGCCGCGTGGACCAGCGACTCCATGACGGCGGCTAGCTGTGTGCGCAGACCTGCAGAGGAGCTCATCCTGACGGCCAACGGCCGATTCTGCGCCTGCTGAATCCACAGATATGTATATATATATATATATATTTATAAAGGCTTAGATATCCGCGGAGTCGAACGTCCGCACATGGCGCCATCTTAGTACAGTGAGTTTTGCAGTTTCACAAGAAATTACTCACAACATCCGGCAGCAGGTCCACTGGCAGGTTGTCAGCCGCTCTGCTAGAAGTGGTTGTGCTTGTTGTTGCTACTGACTGAAATAGACCGTAAAGAAGTTTTGAGTGTCTAAAATGTGCTGTAATAAACAACATATTATATAACTTGCGGAAACAAAAAACTAATGTGTGACATTTAATCACATATTGATACATCTTAAATTATTGTTGGTCGATGATGCACATACCCTTTGAACATGAGCTGGAAAGTTGAAAATGGTTGGCACAACACCATCTTTAAGCCGGACAGTCTGCCCCGTCCGGTCAAAGTCCTCACTCCTGAAGTGCTCACTGCAGAGCATTGTCCTCACAGAGGCAGCAAACCCGTCCCTCCTCAGGGCGACTTCCCACTTCCTCCTCCGCTCTCTGGTTTTAGGAAACCTTAAAGAGGTGAGAAACGTACCCAGATATAAAAAAAATATCGTCAACATTTTCAATCCGTATTTCCATTGAGGGTAAGGACACAAATACACACCTAAATTATCATATTTCTAGGGTAATTGTATGTATGCATGCATGCATGTACTTTAAGAAGAAGGTAATCACTCTAAAAACAATTTAAAAAGTGTCCAAAACAAACAGTGATTGTGTAAACAAACATTCTAAAAAGCCTTGTGTCAACAACAATCTAGCAATACTATTATGTCATACTTCCACTAAATAACCAAGAATTATCCTAAAAATAAATCCTAACATCCTACCGGTGAAAGGTGATCCCTCGGGTTCTCGTTTCCAGACAGCGGCGATTAGAACATCCGTAGGCTGCACAAAAGTCTGGCATCTTCACTGGTGAGGAGTCAACAATTTCCTGTAGAAATCATAATGTAAGACGTTTTTAACAAACCAACCCGATTGGAAATCATGTGCAACGTAAATTATATTGAAAAGAAAGAACGATTCTGCCTAGGGTTGCCACCTTCAATACAGAAAAATAAGAGTAGGTGCGATGATGGTGATGACTACAGGCCCAACCGCGTGCCAGTGGTGGTAAATCACAACCTGTTTTCATAGAAATATTAAGATTTACTCAGACATTATAAAATGATATCTGATATTGAAAACAGCTCTATAACTCAAGGGGTAATATTGTCTTAACTGTGTATTCAGCTACATTCAGTCAACAATGTTTGACAGTGAGACCACAAAATATAGGCTTTTGGAGGAACTATAAACCATATTTTATTAACTTATTAAATGAACAGATCCATAAAGTTAAACAAATGCTTTGATCCTCAAAAAAAGTCTCTTTAAAAAAAGAAAAGAAAAATAGTGCAGGAGATCTTCCGTTGCACTATATTTGTACTATTAAATATATCTCTCATCACTTATTAAAATAATGCGTATGTGTCTGACTGTACAGTAATAAAGAAATCATACCATAACAACATTTACATTTTAAACATTATTTCTCAACAAATAGGCAGCCTATGCAATTTAACGTAATCAATGGGGAAATTATCGAGGTGATTAAAAAACTGTCACCATCTGCCTCACGAGATGATCGAGGTGAGAACAACTCGGAGGCGGTGCGGTGACTTGTGCAATTTGCTCGATATTCATTTACGCTGAAACTTTCCAGCAAAGTTTTCGATTCCTCCCACTACTTTTGCATCCGCATTCGCTTCAGAGCTTGGGGGAGGAGGGAGAGGGGGAGGGGGAGGGGAAGGGGTATCTGGAGCTGCCTGCGCCATTCTTTCAAACCGACACTCCGCCAAGAGACCCGCCCTCCTCCGACTCTGATTGGTTTGCTTCGGGTTCACGGCCAATCAAACCAACGATGAAAGCGAGTGTTAGCCAATCATGGGCAGAATAGGACGAGTCGTCGCAGAATTCGGGTGGGATTATGGACTGAAGACAACTCAGAAAATACCGGACAAACCCCATCCCGTATTCGAAACGGGACGCGCTATTTTATTCTCAAATACGGGACGATTCCGTATTTCAAGGGACGGGTGGCAACCGTAATTCTGCCTCTCCCATTGATATAAAATGACTGGGCAGTAGCCTAGCCGTAATACACAACTAAGATGCATGAAGAGATAAGCTGCGATTTCAACATGTCCACGCATCCAGAAATATAACCACGTTAATAACGTTTGTAAGGAACCAAACCATTTGTAAATCCGCAAGAATTTCAGCGATATAAGAGTATTAGCGTTTGTGCAGATCACTGACCTTAACACGGGTAGCACAGATCACGCCAGCAAGCTTGCCTGTGGCAAGATGGCCGCCCGTGATGACGTGTCGTAGACGCGCTATTAGTCATAGACATATATATAAAGGCTAGATGTCTTATCCGCGTTGCCGGCCAACGGAGACGAACGTCCGCACGTGGCGGCCATCTTGATACAGGTAGCTCGCTCACCCATAACATTGTGTTGGTACTTTTTAAATAACCATAACTTGCTCGATTTTTTTACGGTTTGGTTTGTTATAAACGTCAGAGATGTAGTGCATACATAATATGAATAATTATGTTATAAAATAGGTACAAAATAATAAGATCTCCCTTTACAAATATACATCAATAAATACTGCATGTTGAAATCCCCACCCTGTACAGAGATGTATTTATGACACTGCATACTTGTGAATAATTACAACCATGAGTTTTTATATGAAAATAGCATTAAACAGAACAGATAGGTGCAATAAATACACACATGCACAAGGTATTTATGTTAAATGAATATATAGGCTAGTAAAACTCTGAATACGGAATGGCAACATGAGATGAGCCAGTGGTTTTCAAACTTTTTACACAGAATACCACCTCAAATGATATTGGGCTCTTAGACTAACACCATCACAGACCTTTCTGGGTACCACAAAGATAAAGGATTTAATATAACAGGCCATGTGATGCTCTCATTAGTGTGACATTCAACATGCAAATACTCACAACATCCGGCAGCAGGTCCACTGGCAGGTTGTCAGCCGCTCTGCTAGAAGTGGTTGTGCTTGTTGTTGCTACTGACTAAAATGGACCGTAAAGAAGTTTTGAGTGTCTAAAATGTGCTGTAATAAACAACACATTATAGAACTTGCAGAAACAAAAAACTAAAGTGTGATATTTAATCACATATTTAAATTGATACATCTTAAATTATTGTTGGTCGATGATGCACATACCCTTTGAACATGAGCTGGAAAGTTGAAAATGGTTGGCACAACACCATCTTTAAGGCGGACAGTCTGCCCCGTCCGGTCAAAGTCCTCACTCCTGAAGTGCTCACTGCAGAGCAGCGTCCAGCCAGAGGCAGCAAACCCGTCCCTCCTCAGGGCGACTTCCCACTTCCTCCTCCGCTCTCCGGTTTTGGGAAACCTTAAAGAGGTGAGAAACGTACCCAGATATAAAAAAAATATCGTCAACATTTTCAAACCGAATTTCCATTTACATTGAGGGTAAGGACACAAATACACACCTACGTTTTCATATTTGAATTGGCCGTAATTGTATGTATGTATGTACTTTAAGAATAAGATAACCACACTAGAAATAATAAAAGGTGTCCGAAAGAAACTGAGTGATTGTGTAAACAAACATATTCTAAAAAGCCTTGTCTCAACAACAATCTAGCAATATTATTATATCATAGCCCCGATGTTCCCGTATATACTTCCACTAAGTAAATAACGATTATCCTAAAATCAAATCATAATATTGTAATATCTTACCGGTGAAAGGTGATCCCTTGGGTTCTCGTTTCGAGACAACGGTGATTAGAGCATCCGTAGGCTGCACAAAAGCCTGGCATCTTCACTGGAAATAGTCAGCAAATCTCTATAGAAATCATGATGGAAGATGTTTTTAACAGACCAACCCAATTATAAATCATGAGCAATTTAAATGATGTTGAAAAGAAAGAACAAGTTTGCCCAGCTAAAAAAGCTGCACGCTTAACTCGTTTGTCCAAGACGTATTCAAGCATCTGGAATTATAACCACGTTCATAACGTTCGTAAGAAACCAAACAATTTGTAAATCGGAAAAGATGTCAGCGAGATATGAGTATTACGGTTTGTGCAGATCACTGACCTTACCTCGGGTGCCACAGATCCCGGCAGCAAGCTTTCCCCTACCAACATGGCCGCCATGTGCGGAAGTTCTATACTCCGCCGTTTATACTTTAGCCAAACCCCACTGGTCCTGCACGGGAATGCGCCACGGAAGAAACACAGCGCAGTTCACTGGTTCCGTACAGAGAAAAGCAGCCGATGCGGTCCTCCACCACAGCCAATACCCGACATCGATCCGCGATTAAGCGCGCGCCTGTGAACTGGCATGCGATTCGGCCGCGCACGTTTTTACAGCCGGCCCGAGCACTGAAGGCGGCGAGACGGCGTTTTGAACCGCGGACTATGAGAAGGGTGTGAATGCGCCGACAGCCTGCGCGTGTTGCGGTGATGGAGAACATCGAGGAGTCTTCGCCCCTCCGGATCACCCCGACCGTCCGGGCGCTGAGCTCCGCACTGCGGGGGAAGCGCGAACAGGTCCCCGACTCCGGGCCGCTGGACGGCGAGGGGATCTCGCCTGACACGGAGAAGCTCTGGTTCAAGGAGAGCAGCGCTAAAAACCTGCGCAACAGAGACTTCTTGTCCCCGACCACGATGCTAAACACGCTGTTTGCGGGCGGGCAGGTTGGTGCGGCTCGACAACTTACCCGTTGGCTTTGCGAGTCATTTAAACGGCTACTGGCTCATTTCGCCGTGTTTATGCGTTATTTTTCTTCAGTTGGTGTCACCGAACGAGAGTGACAGCCGGGCACGTTGAACATTTCTGCTTAAACTTGGTGCGCTTTGACATTGTATTCGTCCACTCCGTAGTATAGTTCCGCCCGTGACAGCTAACTGGAGCGATCGATTGAGCCGCGCGCAGTGATATTTAAATGGGCGCACGGCGTGGTTCGGTTTTCAAACGTGAAGTCGGCGCCACCGGAACTATCTTCTCTGTGCAGCGGAGGGCAGTTGGCTGAAGGCGGTGAACGCCGACTCGAGTCCTTCAGCTCATCACGTCGTGAAGACGTTTTTGAAGTCGCACCGCGGCGGCGGCGGCGGCGGCTGCTCCGGGATCCGGGGCCCGCTGTCGTCGCCGCGCCACGATCGATCCGACAGTAACCCCCCGCGGCAGTAATTGTTCTACGTGCAATGTGGGTCAGCTGACCGGCTGCGCTGCAGCTGGAAGCCACCGAGGCCTCGTCCGCATCGGGGTGTCACAAAGTGTGACGTCATTTCGCGTATATACGAGTGTAAATACATGCACATGCACATGCAGGCGTGAGAAGTACAACATCCACTCATAGTCCTTGGCATGCTTGCATAATCATTTACTTAAAATTCAGTCTTTTCCCTTCACATGTTTCCCTCCTAAAACACTCCCATATTCTTTAATTACGGCTGCATGTGTGCCCGTCTCTAATCGCTCCGTTAACCCTCACAGGTCCCTCCATCGGTGATGTCCAGAGTACTGAGCCTCTGTGGGAGTGGGATTCTCCCTGTGGCTGCTGGGGAGGTGACGGGTGAGGGGCTGAGGGTGAGGGTGGACCGGCCCGCAGCCTTCAAGGCGGTCCTGGCAGACGGAGCCACCGAGTACCGGAAGCCCTCAGGCCGGAGACAAGGCTGCTTGGTGCTCAACTGCCCCGCGCTGCACCCAAAACCCAACACACCCACCCCCGATACCCTGACTCTGGGCCAGCTGAGGACTATTCTGTTGGCCGACCACATGGGGGCGCTGCTGAGGAGACAGGGGTGAGTCCCCGGGTCTGTTGCCCATTTCTAAATTGTCGGTACGCGTCGACTCCTTTGAATGCTTCTTGGGATTCTTCTTATTTTATAGCAGTTTGTAGATCAAATATCTCATGAAAGTAAATGTTAAACGCAGCCATGGGTTAAAATGCGTGCTGCAATAAGTTCCACTCTCCTTACCTGTCTCAGGTTTGCAGTGTCCTATTGCCCCACGCTTCCCGAAGACAGCGACATCATCGCCTTCCTCCGAGCCCTGGGCATTGATTGGCCGACGGCACCGGCCAACTGGACCAACGAGGAGCGGGAGGAGAAGATCCAGGAGGCTCTGGAGAGCTCCCCGTACAGGGAGAGGGAAACGGAGAGGGGCAGGAGGACCAGCGGCGGCGGCGGCGGGGGAGGGAGGAAGGCGGAGGAGGGGGAGAACGACGGAGCTCTCAGGGTCAACCTGAAACGAGTGTTCCAGGAGGAGGGGCTGCTGGGATACGACCCCAGCCTCGGCACCTGCGTAGGTGAGGTCACGAGGAGATTTTATGTCTCTCCAGCGGCTTTTTGAGATACCTGTCGGACATTTGTTCTGCTCGGGCGAAGAAAAATGCTTTCACAGCTCCAACGTGTTGTCGAGGTCGATGCTGACAGTGACTGACCGTTAATCAATAACACATCACTCTTGATCACATAGAGCAACATTGCTTTGTATATTGGAACGTTAGCCTATTCGTGTGTGTGTGTGTGTGTGTGTGTGTGTGTGTGACCCATTTGGAACTAAATATGGTGTCCGTAGTGCTACTAGAGGCCAAAGATTCACCGGGAACCTTTAACAGACGGGAGCTACACCAACTCACCAAGTCAGCAAATAAGTGCAGTTCCCAGAATGTGGCACTATTCCAGTCATAGCATGACCGCGTTGCATGTGTGGCCACGTCCAATGTTGCCCACGGAGAGAAATACTTCCTCCTGCTGTGGAGCCGGGCCAACATTCAGCCAACTCGGATCGGCAGAGAAATAGATGAAAAACCTGCACTTTATCTTATGAAGAGAAAAGATTTGCCGGATAACAGGCGTGTTCTAATAAGACACTTTCTGGTGCATCTGTTTCAGTACACAAAGACAGTGTTTCTCAACTGGCCCAACTGGAACTCGCCACTGCCAACTGCACAGTAAGACACACATACACACAGCTTGGCAGTATACGAACGCACTGGCGACTTCCTTATTCCGACCATTAAAAACAAGAGCGAAAAAAAAACACTCATTGCTTCATGTCTTTGCTATCGTTTTTGTAGGTAGCCACGGCAACAGCGTTACATGTGACTTCCTGTCAAGACGAGTTCCGTCAGCAGCAGATAGCAGTGCTGTGGAGAGCCAGTGGAGCAACACACACACAGGTAAACCTCGCACACACACACACACACGCACACGCACACGCACGCACGTTGCACTGCGCTCCTATTCTCACCTGCTCTGCTGTCTGCCGGCAGAGACATCTGGTGTGTGGGCCTGTGAAGACTCCTGGCTCTCACCTCACGGCTGCACAATATCTGCAGTAAGCCACATCGCCGTCTCCGTCTGCAGTTGTGTCTCTGCTGTTGTCCTCCTGTCTTTTCTCCGCACTTCTGTCTCTGTCTTTTAGGTTCCTCTAACGTCCCCCCGTCCCCACTCGGTCCTCCCCCTCCTTTCCTCCAGACAGACGTCTGTTATCACTAAAGACACTCTCGCTAGGATCTTGTCTACTCTGTGAAATTGTGGCTTTAATTAAACCGGATTAAAAGCACACTAATGGGCGTTGATGATCTCGATCTGTGTTATCGCTGCATATTTTTAGCCCCAGCTGTCTTGTGTGAACGAGGCTCCTTTTGTCTGTTTCTCCCTCCGCGTTTGCTCCAGGCTGAGAAGAGGTCAGATGAAGGAGGCCTCGGAGATGAAGTATGGAGATCAAGTAGAAGGTGTGTGTGTATACACATACTCATTGTTATTTTCATACCTACCTAAGTGACCTGAACGGTACCAACACCTCCTGTTCTGCCTCTTGTAGGTCAGACGTGGGACGACATAATCAGGGTCATGACCTCTGCCACGGTCAGATTTGAGCTGCTGTCGACGGTCCACACCAGTCCTGTGAGTCCTCATCACACCTCTGTTGGTGTCATGCAGGCTCTGTTAGAATTGAACTCACTTCCTGTCGCTGTGTGTGTGCATCTTTGATTGTTGTTGTTTGTAATGTCTTAAAAAACGCCTTATTGATTTAAATCAAAGAGTTTGTCTGACTTGGCGGTGATGACGCTCCGCTCTTAAATGCAATCTGTTGAGAAGGAACGACCGACGAAGCTGCTGTTGATGACGTTTAGGTGACGCTGGACGTCCAGCGAGAAGGGGGCGTGTCCACCAAAGGGCCGAGGGGAGGAGTGTTCGTCATGTATAACTGTGCCAGGCTGCACACTCTGTTCGACAGCTACGAGAGAGGAGTGGAGAAGGGTGAGCGTTTTGTGATGCAGGAAATTCTGAAGCAATGTTAGGAATTAAGATAAAACTTTATTGATCCGGGGGACGTTTTTGTATTTTAGTGCATTTTTAGGAATTGAAACGGCGTTGTTTTAGGATTGCATTATATTTTTCTGGCTTTTTGTATCTGCAGGTTTATACCCTGAAATCCCTGAATGCTCCCAGCTAGACTTCACTGCTCTGAAAGAAGAGGTACCACGTTGTTATCTTCTATGCTCTTCTAATCCTTAAGCTTTGGGTTTCCTTATATTTTGCCCTTTCTTTCATTCCATTCACATTAGAAGTGAAACCAATATTTCAGTGTTAATCCTATTGGGCTGTCTCTGTTCTGACTGACAGGGCGAGTGGCTTCTCCTCTTCAATTACCTCATCCCCTTCTCCGAGCAGCTGGACCAATCAGGACACGCGTTGGACTGTGAAGGAGGCGGAGCCAGAGTCAACATTAAGACCGAACAGGTCAGGTGATGGAGATTTACTGATTATTGAACAAAGGTGTAGATGTTTATCCATCTACCTCTAAGGCGTTTTTGTGTTCCTCAGATCTGTAAGTTCCTGGTGTCTCTCAGCAAAGACTTCAGCTCGTACTACAACAGAGTCCATGTGCTGGGGGTGAGGATTTATTTATCATCATCATATGCAGATTAGTGTGTTAACAGCCCGTTGTCCCGTCTGGTGACTTGTTGTCAGTGTGATTACTGTGGCACTAAAACAAAACATGATCAGCTCAGCCTACAGTTAGCAATATTTTATTTTAACCATCACTTTTTTTATTTCTTCCTCTCCCCTTGTCTTTTTTTCTTACAGGAGCCGTTGCCTCATCTTTTCAACCAGATGTTTTGTCGTCTGCATCTGTTGGCTGCGCTGCGAGAGCTTTACCACTGCGCGCTGGACACCCTGAACCTTCCCCCCATCCGGCAGCTATAGCTTAGTCCCAAACTCCGTCACCCTGTGATCACTACTTCTCTAGCACTCGTAGCTGTATCTCGTACATCTTTCTCAGCTAAGGCGGTCGGCTTTTCCCTCATTTTTGTCTGACTATTTGTGACCTGCGATCCGTTCCGTGGTGCTGGCCGACAAATAGCTGCAAACACGGGATTTATTTTTCTGTTTACGCCCTGATAGATCATTTTCAATTCTGCTCCAATGGGCACAAATAACCCACATAAGTGAGCCACCTTTTTAAATTTCCACAATATCATCACACACACACACACACTTTACATTGCTAAAGGTCTCTTTGAAACACAAACATCTTGGTCACTGGCTGAAGAAAGTGTTTTGCTTTTACTAAGCAAAAGTGTTAACGGTCCCATTTCATGTATGTTACCCACCTTGTATTTATCAATGCCACACAAATATTTATGGTCGTTTAAAGAAAAAAAAAAAGGGTGCAGAATATATATATTGTCCATCTGAGTCTTAGTGGCTGTGTTCATAGGATAATTCCGCTCTTCCAATCCCACTTATCCTGCGTGACAAATCACAAATGTTCAGTGTCAACCAACCATGTACCAGATATAACAGGTGTTCATAAGTTACTTACAGAAGCAGTGCATTAGCAGCATTAGGGCATTGTGCCAAAAAGATAGGAAATGCATGAAATGGCATGACGATAATATATATTAAGAGTTTAATGCCCAAAATGGTTATTTATACATTTTGATAATGACCTAAAAGTGATCCTTGAAATGTGAAATGTGTTTCCATTTCGTCTGAAATGTGCCATAGCTTTCTTTAACTCTATAACATTATTTTGTAAGTTGGTGTTTTTTCTTTTTTAGGTGAATATCTCATGTTGGAACAAAACAATCAATGTACACAAGTATCAAATGTACTCACAACTCTCTCAATGATGCTTGTAAAAGATTTTTTTTTTTTTTTTAATGTTCCTTTCTATGGAAAAGGGAATGGTATGTTTAATATCCTGATCATTAACAGTGACTGTAATTATCACAGTATTAAAGCAGGACGGATGCACACTGAGGGATTCAGCTTTTTTGTTTTCCCACCTTAAAGTGTGCATTGCCTCACTGTTTGTGTACACACACACACACGCGTACTGCACGCTATATGCACGGAGGCCATTGTTGTGTTTCTCTTGTTTGAACCCCTAAGGCCTCGCAGCGCTGACCTTCTTCTCCCGTCTCTTGTTCTTTTCTGCCGCCCTGACTCCCGTCCCTCTGCTAAGTACTGTATTATGTACTCGCATTCAGGGCGTAAGTCTGCCTGTCCTCATTTTAGTGCCACTAAAATGAAAGTTCCACTAACTTCTTATCTGTTTTCTTCATGGACCTGACGCAATTCTTGATAAAAAGCCAACTCGAATGCTTTTAACTGGAGCAAAAATAATGCCTCTTAAAGAGATAATGAATTAGTCATCCGATAAAGCCTTGGGACAGATGTCAGTTTGGCATCAGCTGACAACATTTACTGCTCAAGGTCACAGAACATTCCTTCCTGTCCTAAAGTGTCTTCATATGCCTTCGCCCGTCAAGTGTATTCGTCACCCCTCTGAATGTGAATATTAACGTCAAACTCTCCGACACGCGTCCGTCTGCCTGCAGTTTCTGTGTCTGTCCTCTGCAGAATAAAAAAAACAACGACACGACAGACTCTGTGTGTTTGTCTCTGAGGGATTTATATACTGATTCTGTGATTCTATTGATAATTCCCATCATGCGCCATTACAGCCCCCCCGGCCTCAGGCCACGTGGATGCAACATTAACCCACACAGTTAACAGTCATCCATCACTGTGCACACAACCCCGGTGATGTGATGTGCCATTTGTCTTTGCCCTTTTTTTCTCTCCGTTTCCCTCTCTTCCCCTCGCTTGCTTTTTGTCTTCCCTCCCTTACATTTGCTCTTTTGGACGTCCGTTATAAAACCGGCGCAAGATGTTTGCGTCTTGAATATTTGATTTCCACATTTAGGGGCCTACATTTGATTTGTTGTGAGTGAGACAGTGTGAAATAGGACACTATGCTGCATTCAAATAGGAAATTCCAACACATTTTGTATGTAGTTAGAGTTAGATGCATGTGATTAGGAGTTCATGAAACATGTACGTCTAGAATATATATAAATAATGAATTGGTTTGCTTTTAATTAACAGCAGCACAGAAAAATACGCTGATTGTCTTCATAATAATGCTATTAGTGTAGAATTCCACCGTGGTCGAGGTCACCGTCGGTAATTAGCATGTAGCCTACGTGGGAAACCATGTGGGCAATTACTGAAAACATCTCAGTTTCATTAAGAAAAGATGATTACTCAGCGGTATTGGTTTGTGTCCACAGTAATCCTATTGCACAGATGATCTCCAATTAGCTCAACTTAACAATGCAGAAATACGCATTTCAATAATCATGCAGAAATATGATTACAAGCAACTTAATAATTAGGAGGATTATGTTGTGGTAGTGATATCTTTCCTCAAATGAGTGTCAATGAGCACAGAGGACAAAATCATACGTTGAGTTACCTTTGTGTGCCTTTCTTTAATATGTATTTGGGTCTTGTTGGTGGTTAGGTTGAAAGACTTGTGTAACCATTATGGATAATAATTTCACACAAACCACAGTAGGACAGTCACGGTAATTCAATTAATCAGCTGATCTGTGTTATGTAAAAACCATTAAACCTTGGATATTCAATTACATAATCATATAAAGTTCTGTGCCGTGTTATTGGTAAGCTTGCAGACTGGAAGTTACATTCATTCATTTGATTCATGGAGTATCCTCTGTACAGAAAGCAGCTTCTTTCTCCAGAGTAACTTCACATCACTTGCAGACTTGAATTAAAATAATCATTTCAACTCCTGGCCGCGTCGCGCTGGTGTTAATAATGTGCTTCCTCTTTCTCACACCCCGTCCTGACCTGCAGTAATGAGCTGCGCTCAGCTCTGTCGGCCTGAAGATGCTGGGGTGGTTCTCTAATTCAGGAGGGAGCACAAGGCGCTTTACAAGTCACGTTGATTTAGGGATTCAACGAAGGTTCGTTTTTAAAACATTTTAAAAATGCTTAACAACCCAAAGACAAAGTTACCACATGCAGGTTCTAAACCCACACTCACAAATTGAGGGAATCATCTGCTCCGAGGCTGTGCTTAAAAACAACAACAACAACAACAACAACAACAACAACACAGCTGCTTCTGGAGTTCATCACTCGCTGCTTCGTCATGTCCACCTGAGTCACAATCACAGTTTGAATATTCACTTTTCAAGCATGGCTGCGCTGTCTATGCTCTCAGCGCTGTTCCCTTCTTTCTTGTATCATCTTTACAAATTGTAAATGTGAACACGTGCACAGAAGATCCTATGCATATATTCAGCAGGAGCGTTTGTGATGTTCTGTCCTGGCAGTAAACACAGCTGAATCACCACTGACTGGAAGGCATGCAGAGCGATGATGTAACCTCACCGCAGTACAGCAGGATCGCCGCATGGTGGCGGTGTCCCGACAGGTTTATCAGCTGACTCGCACACCGTGAGCCCAAAGGGACGCACCGTGTGTGGAGGTGATGGACAGTGGTCTTCTCTTCCTCTGTACGATATTCTCAATTTTTAAGGTCATAAAAGCCGAAGATAATGCAAATACGAATTAAAAATAATGCGGTGGATTAAATAAATAAGCAGTTCCTGGGACTAAAGTTGTGTGGTTGACAACCCTCCTCGAAGGACACACAAAAAGAAGCTGGAAATAAGCATCGTGCTTAGTTTGCCAGATGTTAACATCTGCCTTTTCATTCTCACAACTGCGTTGGTTTTAGGGTTTTCTTCTTCTGTTTGTCAAGTCATCAGTGCTAATTAACTGCATCACAGCTGTCTTAAAAGAAAAGAAAAAACAGACAAGTCTTTTTGACGGTTGTATCTCTCACCAGTTTGTAAATACACAACAACTAACTCACATTCAGGTATTTTACTGTCAGAAAACGATGATCAATTATGAATGTGCCCTTTGCAATAGAATGTCTGCATCTGAACTGTAGCTGAAATAATTAGTCGGCAGCTGATTTAAGTTAGAAAAGCATGTCCATGCATTTTAAATCTCAAACTGCGATTCACTTATTTTCTTTCACAGAATAAAAGCTGCTGCTTTGCATGAGCATCAATTTTCTTGCTCGATATTGGTGCAACTCAAAGCCCAATGGAAAAATAATCATAATATTCCTGGTGCCAGTGAAAACTGGCAACAGGGAATCCGTGCAATGCCAAAAAAATCTTAAATTATTGAGCAATTTTGTGTGGCTTATTTCCCTTTTTGCACAAGTGTCTATTAGTAACTCTGCTTTTATGTGGATCACCTGGACAAACACAGCAGAAAACGCCGCCGACCCGATGTCACTGTGAAGCCCCTTCGCACTGAGCACGAGACAAATGATAATGGAGCCTTTTTTTTTGCTGCGGTGTAGTCAGGGCAGATCTAGAAAGCTTAATCCCTCTCTTCTCCCTCTACGCCAATCAGAAACTCCCCTTTACAAGACCCCCGCTTGCTTGTCAATCACTCCCCTCGGGCAATAGGTTGGAGAGAGACAAAAGAGGGAGGGGAGCGAGAGAAAAGGGGAGAATCCAGTAAGGGGGGTTTGAACGTGAAAGTGCTTGATAGCGATGGGTTGTTAGAGGGAGAGTAATGCATGTAGAGTAATTGCTGTGAGTGTATCCACTGTCTTGAAGAGAGATGAATGAATGGGGTCAGGGACGCCCCTGAGAATAAAGAGAGAGAGAGAGACGGCTTGATAGAGTGAGAGAAAGGGGGCAGGGATGGACTGAATGCACCAGGTGGAAATAGACTGAAACACACAGGTGAGAGCGCATGGTTGATGCAGGTTTGGCCGGCCCACTCACTGTCCGTGATGGACATCTTAAAACCTGCTAAACTGGGAACAAAATTAGTTCCAGCTGAAGATGAATGCACATTTGGGGCCCTTGCAAGGTGTCTTTTGGATGCAGGGCAGTTGGAGGTATTGGATCATGGGATTGGATCATTTCTTCTCCATGATTAAACATCTGAATCTATGAATATGCAAATGCGGTTTTATTGCTGGACACAAGATGTGAACTTTAGGACCGAAAAGTCCGCTATCAGTGTGCGTTCCGCCTTCCCACTTCAGTGAACGACGAGCTTTCAAACCAGTCACCAAACCTCACGTCACCTCAAACTGGTGGTTTAAAAGGTGAGCACAGAATGACTCCCGCCCCCCCGGGGTGGGGGTTTTGGTCGTGACAGGGGTTGGAAGTAGAAGCGGGGTCTGTGTTATACAATAATTGAATAAATTGAGTATTGAGTTCAATTAAATCACATAAATTACAATTCTGCGCGTTCGTAATTGCTGTGAACCGCGGTCGCTAGCCCAAGGCTGCGGCTGGTGGAGGAGGCGGGGGGGCTGGGTGGAGGAGGGGCACTGGCAGGGAGGCGCGGCCCCTGGGAGGAATTATCCTGCAATTTTTTGTTTCTTTTATAGACATCAAAAGGCAAGGAGACAGCCTGACAGACATGTATTAAAGTGTAAATGAGGGTTAAAAGGAATCGCAGCCCTTCGGTTGTTTGGTGCATTTACACAGAAACAATAATGTTGCTTAATAGAAAACATTACTCCTGCAGCTGCTTCCTATTGAACTTTGGTAAAAGAAAAAATAATTTTTAGAAGTTGTGACCTGATCCTTGGAAACAAAGAGGGAAGGATTTCTCGATGTCACAACGCACAGATTTAATTATATTATATAAGAAATCCATCATGAAACTAATCGACTGACTGGAAGACACGTATGTGGACACACGGGACGTGACGTCAGTATGTCCTCCTGGAAGGTGGAGGTGATCTTTAATATATGATTAATCTGTCATCAGGATAGGACATTGTTGTGATTGTATGTGATCAATGCTGCAAAGTGTCTTTTGATTGACAAAGCAGCTTAAAGTTTACACGTGTGTCCACTGAGGTGTGTGTGTGTCTGTGTGTGTGTGTGTGTGTCTTTGGGGCATCAGATAACTGTGTCCCTCCCTCCTACAGCGGAGATGGTCAGATTTAATCAGATAAACTCTCGATGCAACAGCTGTCACCCAGACCCAGAATCTCTGTGCCTCCTCCCCCTCTCTCCCCTCCTCCCTCCTCCATTCCATCTCCACTTAATGCCTCTCTCAGCCTCTATATCTCTGCTATATCTCCGGACCTCTCTCAGTATGTGTGTGCGAGTGTACTTAGGACACGCGTGTGTACCCTCAGCATGCACGTGGCCGAACACACGTACACACACACACACGCACGGATAAGTACTCTCCATTATCCCTGATTCAGCAGATGAGTATCTGGTTTGATACAGTTTTCCTCTTTGCGAACAGAAACAAACACACTGAAGCCACAGCACGCGTGTGCTGTTGGTTGTTGTAGCAGGTGATCTGTTGAGAGATTGCATTCCTGTGAGCAGGGAGCGTCGGCATGCAGTGTTCACAAACACGTAACGTTGGGTTCTGTCTTTTGTCTTGGCACAGCGTCACTGGGTCAGCTTGTCTCCCCGTTCTCCCAGTGAGCTTTACTCATCTCTGAGGGTGGGCTACAGTGGCATTAAGTGGTCTACTGTGTGGCTGTTATGAGGGGGA